GTCCTGTTTAGCGACTCTGGAGCTAAAACCGCGTCTGCTTAGTAAGCTTACAGTTTTGGTGCCGGCGCCGGTCTTCTGGCCCACTGGGAGTCGCGCAGGCGGGTCTCCGACGCCGACGACGCCGACGTGCGTGAAATCGACCTGGCCGGGTCATTTTTTGCCGGTGTCACAAGGACGCCGAATGACACATTATTCGCCACCGGGATGGTTTCGCCTTTTGGCCAGTTTCCGCCGTCTGCTTCCCCTCCTCGCCTTGTCGCGCCACTTCTCTGCCACTCCCCCTCCCACACGTGCCGCGGCTGTTCGCACTCCGCCCGATTAAAGGGCCACTCGCCATTTAGGGCGTTTGGCACGGGGCGGCCATTGGCGGCCGTCGCCTCGCCTCGGCTGTTAGCACACTCCGATTTTGTCACGTCGCGGCGAGGACGGCGAGGACGGCGAGGACGAGGATTACCTTGATCCGGGATTGGGCGGCAGTCCACGCCACTCGAGACTCGAGCGTTACTATCGCGCTGCCGGCCAGCACCAGCAGGCCGAGTCGGAACAGTGCTGTCGTCGCCCTGTCTCTCTCGCACCCCTACGGGCCGCTCCATGAGTGCGAGAGAGACAGAGCGACGACGAAAGCGCACGCGCGCTTCGCTCCGGCGTCGCCAACCAATGTCACAATGTCACCTTATTATCGGATTAGCGCGGCGCGGTGCGGCGCTGCATCGCGGCCTGCTTGTCGTCGGGGCCGTAAAGATAGACCCGCCGGCCCGGTGCTTTTCCCTGTCGGTGTCGCCGCCCTGGCGCCCTGGCCCACCCACCCCGCCGTCGCCCACCCCGCCATCGCCCACCCCGCCGTCGCCCACCCCACCATCGCCCACTCCCGCCATCCCATACCCCGCCATCCCATACCCCGCCATCGCCCACCCCGAAATCGTCCACCCCACCCCACCCCGCCATCGCCCACCCTGCCACGCCCACCTCGCCGTCCACGAATCACGTAGCACCTGCGACAAGCGCTGCGAAATCGCTCTCGTTATAACCCCGAGCGTCGTCCAGCAGGCGGGCGCCTGTTGCCATGGCGACGGCCGCACGGCCACTGCACGGCCACCGCACGCACTTGAGCTGCTTCTGCCGGGCCATACTCCCGGCTCCGGCCACGCTCCGCAGGCTGCTTCCGAGCGCCGCTCTCGTCGCTCTGTCTCTCTCGCACTCATGGGGAGCCCCGTTGAGAGGCAGCAGCGCTCGGAATCAGTCCGCCGTCCGGCTCTCTATAGCGCGGCGTGGCCTATCCGTGATGGAACTGCTCCTGACAACCACTTGCGCCCGGGAAAATGGGTTCGGAAAATTTTGAGTGGAAACGTGAACCGGGCCAGTCTGCGCTGGTGGCGGTCCCACAGTATCCCACAGTCCCACGGCCAGATGGAAGCTTCTCGGCCGAGGCGCGCGTGCCGTCCCCAGAGTCCCCACGGCCCCCACGGGGTCGGGATGGTTTACACCAATTTTGCAATTGAAGCCCCCCTCCCATTCCCTTCCCTTCCCGCTAGGGCCGACCGACCGGCCGGCCACCCACAGCAATTGGGCGGAGCTGCTATTTCCGGCATTAACGAACGACATGGGACTGAAAAACAAGTGACGGGCACGGCGGCCCTAAGGGGCCCAAAGGCCGCCACCGGGAGGCTGGCTGCGTGGCGGGCTGTTAGGGAAGGCCGAAGGGAATGTCAAAAGTCAGGGCCCAGTCCTGCGCGTCCTGCCCCACGCGTCCTGCGGCGGCGCGACTGACACACTGGGACTGCTGCCGCTGCTGCCCTCCCCCTCTCCACGACAAGGTCGCGCCCAGCGCTCGGCCACTCGGATTTCGCGCGTCGAGCCGTCGACACGGCAGTCGGCTCGCCGGGGAGCTTGACCAGAGACTCCAAACGGGTAACGAAGTGCGGGTATGTTGGCCGAGCGTTGGCCGGCGCGCTTGTGGTGGGGGAAGCTGGGCCGGAGCCGAACGCCGAGGCAGCGGTCGGCGAGCGGCGACACCCGCACTTACCCGCACAGCCCGAAAATAGGCAGCCCGCAACGCAGGCCAGCGACCTTTCTTGCCTACCTGCAGGGGCGAGGCGGCGTGCGGGCATCTCCAGACTTGCGGGTAAGCGTCACCCGCAGAGTCTCGAGCGGGCTAGGCCGCCCGGCGCGGGTCGGGTCGGGTCGGGTATGCGCGTTGCGGGGCGGGTTGAGTCTGGATCTCGCGCCGCTGCCGTGCGGGTATGTTTTTCGTCCACTTCGTTACCCGATTGGAGTCTCTGAGCTTGACCCGGCCCGCGTCTTCGTCTTGCCACGGTTTGTGGACCGCGTGACCTTAGGGCTCTGCCACGCTCTGCCGCGCCATTGTCAGAGCGAGAAACGGGCCTCGCACAGTGGGTCAGCAGACCGGTGGAGGCGGACAAAACACTGAAACGAATTTTGACCTGCAGAGTCGCTTAACAGGACTCGAACCGAACGTGTGACCCCACCCCACCCATGGATTGCTCTCCGAACGAGGAATCCATTGGTGGGGTCACACGTTCGGTTCGAGTCCTGTTTAGCGACTCTGGAGATCAAAACGCGACCAGAGTTTTGGCCGCCTCCACCAGTCTTCTGGCCCACTGTGCCTCGCCGCGGAGAGCCCCTCGACTACGCCCACTCACTTCCAGCTGCTCGGGCTCTGTTGTTGTTGTTGGCGCGGCAGATGGCTATCATCGGGAGCGAGAGAGATAGAGAGAGGGTTCGCTGATAACTGCGCACCGAGAGCGTCCCGCGGTAGCCGCCGAACCGAAAGGTTTCCATACCTCCACACGCGCTCCAAGCGGAGAAAGCTAAAGCAGTCGGTGCGGGAAATTTCCCCCAAGCGGGAGATTCCCGCCGGGGCTTTCGACAGGGGCTGCTCCGATGACATCATGCACGCCGGGACGTGCTGTCCTGGCTGTCCTGGCGGGGCCGCCGGGCTCGTCGCACATCGACCGCCCTAACGAGGCTTGTTAAATTAATCATGGCGGTTCCATCGCGACCATAGTGTGTGCGTGCGCATTTGTGTGTGTGAGTTTGCGTGTCCGCCCTGCCGGCCGGTTTTCCGCCCTGCCAGTGGCGCTTTCACTTCGGGGTTTTCCCTTTCCCATTGGAGCTTTCGCACCGGGGTTTCCCCCCCTCCCACTCCAACTTCCCCATCACGGATTCCCTACGCGGCGCTTTCCGGCGCCCGGCGCGAGCGCGTGGCGTGTACAGTGTGTGCACCCCCATGCCACGCCACACTGATGGTTGATGGCAGCGGTCGCGGCGCGGAGAGCTTTAATCTGAGCTTTGCTGAATTGGTTATCTTTAGCGGCGGGGTCGACGGACACTTCCAAAGTGGCCTGGTTACGTAACAGTCTGTTTGTGGAGCCCTCTCGCTGGCGACTATCTTGCGATCCGAAGACGCGTGGCTGTTAAAGCCGCCGAGGAAGCGATATCGATAACACCCACAAGTCAAGTCTTTCGAGTGTCACATTTTGGAGTAGGCCGGGCAGCCAGCCCCCTCCCGTCAGCGTCGTGCTGTCAAACCGGACCGCTGCAGACTGATACGCTCTGTCTCTCTCGCACTCATGGGGCGTCCCGTCCAGGTGCGAGAGAGACAGAGCGACGAAAACGACTCTCGGAATCAGTCTGGTGCTTGACGACGACGGTCTCGATGCCGGCGGCGCGGCGGCCGGGTGACGAAATTGGCGACGCGGTCTCGTTTTTCTCGTTCAGCGATTTAATTCTGTCTGGTCGGTCACGTGTCTGCCGTCGGTTCGAAGCCGCTTTTTGGGAAGGCGCCTCACGTCGCCGTGTGAGTCCGGACGGACGGGCTCCCCGCCGAGCGGGCCGGCGGCGTCCTCCCTGGCCCGCTTCCAGGGTTACAGGGTTCCGGTTCCAGACGCCGCGCCCGCGCCGGCCGGTGTTGCTTTTGTTGCTGCGAAAATCAGCTGATCGTTCGGCGGCTGGCGACAGGAGTCGGGCAGCCAGGCAGGGCGCGTCCCGTGACGCGGACGCGTCGCCGGCGTCGCGCTGCCCTCGGAGTATGTCTTTGTGGCCGTGCGGGCGGTGCGGGCCGGAGGGCGTCGTCGGCGTCGCCGGCCGGGCGTCTTATCTGGCGCTGCACATGTATCCTGCGTGGCTCGAGGCGGCCCGGCCCGGGCCGAGCGATCCACTGCGTGCGAAATGTTCCCTCGCGCGCGGCGGTAAATAGAGACCCAGGCCGACGGTGCCGGCGGCGGCCCGAGTCATTATTACTCTCTCCTAGCGACCGCGCCGCGCCGCGCGCGCCCAGCCGGCGCCCGTCGGCAGGCCTTTGACGCCGACGCCCTGCATGGGGTGGTCGGGGCTCGCGGCGAGGGAAGGCCCCCCCGGCGCTGCGAGTCCCCGCCCCCGCCGCCCTCGCCGTCGAGGCCCGGGACGGCCGCCCTGGCCCAGCTGGCTCTGGCGGCGGCGAAGGCGATTTTTGTTGTTTTCGTGAAGACTTGGGCGTTATCTCACATGTCGCGGCCGTGCTAGTCCGCCGCGCCGCACGCGGCCCCCCACTCCCGCTTTGCCGGCGTGGTGACGGCCCCGGGCCCCGGGCCCCGGCAGCCAGGGGCTCGACGGGGCGCCCCGCCCCTCCCCGCCCCTCCCCGCCCCGCCCCGCCACGCCGACACTCCCCGGCTGCAGCATAACGCGGCGCGGCGCGCGGCTCAGTGTAGTGTCAGTCGAACCTCCAGAGCGTGCGGTACCGGCCTCCTCGCCCTGCAGATCCTAAGGTCAGCCCGGCTCCTCCCGGCCCAGCCCGGCGACTCGCTGCCTCAAGCTGGACTTTAAACTCAGTTCTGAAATTTTTATTTTGCCTCCGTGAGCCCCGTGCTAGGCGCTCGTCGTGGACTTGGGAATAGTGAGACTTTGTCGCGCCCTTTTTATCGACTTTCTTGCGAAAACTCGGCGCGACCTCCCCGCGCGGTCCTCGCTGAGCCTGGCTGACGGCGTGCTCCTCGTTTTGCAGATGGCGTCCCACGGCGTGCTCGAGAACTCGCCCAACGCGGCCATCAACAAGGCCGTGGTGCAGCGCCTCATGACGCTGCCCATGCCGGCCAACAAGGTGCTGGCCACCTACATCTGGATCGACGGCACCGGCGAGAACGTGCGCTGCAAGAGCCGCACGCTCGACTTCATCCCCAAGGATGTCTCCGGTGAGTGCCGAGTACTGTACGGCGGCGTCTGGCTCCTTGCAGACGGCGTGGAGCGCAGGGGTCTCGCGCGCGGTCTCGCGATTGGGGACGGGGCGATGCACGCGTTGGCGGCGTACAGTGCACGGGCGCCACGGGCCCTCGAGTTTGGGAGATTTCGACAAGTTGCGGACTCTGGACCCGGGCCGGGACTTCCCTGCGCCACCACGCCAGCGCGCCGCTACTCGCCTTCTTTCCTCTTATCGTGTAAAGGGACACTCGACTGGCCGCGTACTCGCTGTTGCTCGGCGCAGTCGCCCTTGCCTTCCCCTCTGCTGCCCCTGGCCTGCCCTGGCCGGGGGTGGGACTAGGCCCCAATCCCCAATCGCATTTCGGCCGAGACTCGCCCTGCATCAGGGATGCTGCGAGGATGCTGCGGAAGGAAGGGGCTCGGTCTCCAGAAGCTGATTCCGAGCAGCGCTCCGCCGCGCGCGCTCTCTCAGAGCGGCCAAAGCACGGTTTCGGCCTCTGCCCGCTGGGAGGTGATAAAGTGGGTGTGCTCGGGTATGGCGGCTAACGACGGTGGGGTGGCGGCCGTGGCGGGGAGGTCCTCTTTCACCCCGACCGACGGCGAGCCGACGGCGGCGGCCAGCGAGCGGGGTGGCGGTGGAGTGGGCGTGGTCGCGGCCCGTGTCCTTGGTCGGCGGCCAGCTCTGACGCCAAGGACGCCGTGTACGTCGTGTTCGGCGCGCTGCCCATCGACATATTGCTCTCTGGAGCGTGCGGGCCGTGGGGGTCGAGCCCGCGCACCGCGCTGGTGGCCTGTGGCGTGCGGCCTATTGACTTGAGTGCACTTGCAGTGCGGGAGCCCCACATGCACTCCGCGGCGTGCAGACCAGGTGCAGACCGCGCCCAGGCGGTTTATTGGATTCCCCAGTGCGGTTTGGTTTCGTGCCGGGAGCCGCCATACCGCAATGCGCGACCCCCTTCACCCCTCCCCCTTTCTCCTTTGCTCCCGCTCCCTCCCTGCCGCAGTCGCCTCCAGGGATCGGGGTGGCGCGTCGTGCGCACGCGTGCCCAGCGCGGCCCCGAGTGCTTCGTGACCTTGACGCCCCGCAGAGCGGCCATGTTTTAATTTTTAAGTGCCCGTCTCAAACCGTGGACTTCTCAGCCCCTCGAATTTCGTAAAACAAATGTTCGTTTTTGTTGGAGTAAGATTTTGCTGGTGTTTTGTTGATTTGTTTCCCTCGCTTCTGCCGGCAGAACTGCCCGAGTGGAACTACGATGGCAGCTCCACCTTCCAGTCTGAGGGCAGCAACTCCGACACGTACCTGAACCCCGTCGCCATGTACCGCGACCCCTTCCGCGGCGGCGACAACAAGCTGGTCATGTGCGACACCTACAAGAGCAACAGGAAGCCCACCGAAACCAACAAGCGCGCCGCCTGCGCCGCCGCCATGGAGGCCGCCAAGGACCACAAGCCCTGGTTCGGCATCGAGCAGGAGTACACCCTCCTCGACATGGACGGCAGGCCCTTCGGCTGGCCCAAGAACGGCTTCCCCGGCCCCCAGGTGAGTTTCGGTCTCCACCTCCCGCCTGGTTCTGGCCGCCTCCCGAAACGGGTAGTCCAGCCGCTCAAGCTCAAGTTCAAGCCATCGAAGCGCCTGTGAGGTAGACTCGCCTGCCGCGCACCGGAGCGCTGAACGGAGTCTGTTGCCTACCTCCCAGGCTGTCGAGGCGCCTGCGAGGTAGACTCGCCTGCCGCGCACCGGAGCGCTGAACGGAGGCTGTTGCCTACCTCCCAGGCTGTCAAGGCGCCTGTGAGGTAGACTCGCCTGCCGCGCACCGGAGCGCTGAACGGAGTCTGTTGCCTACCTCCCAGGCTGTCGAGGCGCCTGCGAGGTAGACTCGCCTGCCGCGCACCGGAGCGCCGAACGGAGGCTGTTGCAAGGTTGGCCTGTGCTGACGCGCTGACGCTGACGATGCCTTCCTTCGGCTGTTCCAGGGCCCCTACTACTGCGGCGTGGGCGCCAACAAGGTGTACGCCCGCGACATCGTGGAGGCCCACTACCGGGCGTGCCTGTACGCCGGCATCAACATCGCTGGCGAGAACGCGGAAGTGATGCCTTCCCAGGTACGTGCCTCCCCTCCGCCTCCGTCTCGACGCCTTGTCGCTCTGCCCGTGGAAACCTCTGTCGCTAACGCTGTCCGCGCCGCTCGCTGCCGCCCTCGTGCAGTGGGAGTTCCAGGTCGGGCCCTGCGAGGGCATCTCCGCCGGCGACCAGCTGTGGGTGGCGCGCTACCTGCTGCACCGCGTGGCCGAAGAGTTCGGCATCGTCGTCACCCTGGACCCCAAGCCCATGCCCGGCGACTGGAACGGCGCCGGCGCGCACTGCAACTTCAGCACCAAGTCCATGCGCGCGGACAACGGCATCATGTGAGTCTCGGCGCCCCATTGTGGGAACTGCCGCCCCCTTTCAGAGTGTACTCACTCCGCTCGTGCTGTGTCCTGACAGTGAGATCGAGAAGGCCATCGACAAGCTCTCCAAGAACCACCTGCGCCACATCCAGGCCTACGACCCCAACGGAGGCAAGGACAACGAGCGACGACTGACTGGCCGCCACGAGACCTCATCCATCCACGACTTCTCCGCCGGTACGCCCTCCCTTCCCACCGTCTCTCGCTCGGGACATCGACTGGGCCCGTTGCTGGCGCCATTTCATTATTTAATGCATCTTGGCGTGTGTTGGGTTCCAAAAAGTTGAAATGTCATCAAGATACTGAATTTTGTTGGGACAATCCGCCTTCCAAATTTTGGTTTCGCTCTTTGTTTTTACATGAGGTTTATTTATCCTCCGACTTTTGCCTTTTTGTTTGCAGGCGTGGCAAACCGTGGCGCCAGTGTGCGCATCCCTCGCTCCGTGGCCGAGGAGAAGAAGGGCTACCTGGAGGACCGCCGACCCTCGTCCAACTGCGACCCTTACTCCGTCACCGAGGCCCTCGTCCGGACCTGCGTCCTCGAGTAAAAGCCAAAACCCCACCACATGGCCCACTACACCGGACCAGGCGATTCATCCAAATTTTATATTTTGTGTAAAGCGGGTAAAGATTTGGTGGAGAGGCAGACAGCAGGACTTATTTTTGATACGCTTTCTTGTCGTTATAGTTGAGGTGGTGATATCATTTCCTAACTATTCGTTATCATTTTGCTGCCCCCCCTTCACCTCTAGTGGAGGTGAAATTGGTGGAAAGGCCTTCTCAGTTGGGATCCATGCATGTCAGCCAGAATTGCTGGGTCCCAATGTCCCATGCTCGTGATGGAGTATGGCCATGGCCTAACTGAATATAAAGCGAAGTGCCATGGTGTGTGACTATGCTGCAACATTCTCATTCATCCTCATTTGAGGCCGTGATCATACTTTTCTGTGTGCTGTTTTGATTTTGTGTTAGAGTTTGTTATGAATTTATTGTACATAATAAACTGTTACTGTTATTCCAAATTGTTTTGACATCTAGATAGTCTATTGTCACTTTTTATTACTATTATAATTATTCGAGTCACTTAAGTCAGTGTACATCCATAACGGCTTGATGCATCGTTATGTACTGTAGAAGAAAATTAGATCAAACTTGTTTGCTTTTTTTTATATTGGAGTTATGACTTGTAACTACATCTTGATTTCTATTTCACTCTCTTCTACCTTCCAATTATGTATACTCTCATTTAGATTGTTTAAATATGCATACTTGCATGTATATGTGTATATATCTATATATAAAAATGTATAAATATTGATAAATTGCATCTAATACCTCTCACCCTCCCATATAGTGTTTACAGCTATTGTTAACACAAAGTGCCAGGTCAGCAGATGTCCTGTGGGGATTCCCACTGTACATGCTGCTACATATCAAAGAAAGGGCTTACTTGAAATCAAACAATCAATGATAGCTCTCTGAGCCCCATGCCAAATACCACCTCAAAGAGACCTTCTGGTCAAAGTTTAAAAATTGACGGCCTCCTATTATGAAAGTAGAAAGTAGCATGTATGCAGAAAAAGATTCATAGAATCAGACGTGTAGGTTAAGCGACATTTAAAACTATGACAATACAAACCTGCTTAACTTACAGTTCTTGTTCGACATTTCATGTTGCCATCTATCATATTCATTAATAATGTAACTGCAAGAAGTTGAGTGTTTGACAGTTCTAATAATTTTGATGTATCATTGAGATATGAAAGAGGAGAGGCTGTTTTCTCAACAAGAGTTGCAATAATTTTCAGAAATATATTTTAAGTTAAGATAAAAAAGCTGTATTATGCTTATTAATTTACACATTTCTCTTACAATTCAATGCCACAGAATAACTTACTTTCACGTCCTTTCACAGCAAACTACAACAGGTAAATGCATTTTAGTCAATAAAATGGAGACAATTCTTGTTAAGATGTTAGGAATAAACACTCTAGAACTTCAATGAAAAAGAAATGACACAGTAATTCTTATGAATGTTTCAACAATTACTTCAGTAAGCAAGAAGGTACAACCATCTAATGAAAAAAGACTTGTGACCAACCAAAAGTGAAAGCTTTACATATGTTTGCTTGCTTTGGATTTTGAATTTTCTGTTTTCCAAGGAAATGATTAATGGGTGAATCACAGATACCTCATACATAATGCCTTTCCAATGTCACAAAGTTTAATTCTTAGTGGCGGCTACCAGTTGCGCTTTCTGGTACTGCTGTTGCAGCTTATTCAACACATCTCGTTGGCTGTCCTGTTTCTTCTCCATATCTGTGATAGTGTCATCCACTCGTTTTCTGAAACAAATCAAGACGTGAAAGACAATGCTGACAGAAAAAGAACAAAGTTGAACCGAAAGTAGAAACTTACAGTTCTCCCTTGATGTAATCCATACGCTTATTCACGTTCTGGAGAGCCTCTTCAATATCTTGTTTGATTAGAACAGGACCTATTAACTTGTAAACTTCTTGATCCTTTTTAACTAGGTCCAACTCCTAAAACAAATATGCAACACGGATTTCATTTGATTGCTAGACCTGATCCGTTAGCACGCCAATGCAAATTAGGCAATAGGGTAGTTACCGTTTTCACAGTTTCATTTTCGAAGAGTTGACCACCAAGCTGCTGACGAACTGATAAAGTCTTCTGATACTCTGAAAGAAGAGAGACAGCACAATTATAGACAGGTAAATTTATATAGGATAGGGAGGAAGCATATTCTGACAGTACGGTTCATTCAGAAAACGAAGAAATGAACAAGTGTGACAGGGAGAAAAAACTCAAGCGAAATAATAATTCTCGTTTCACTTAAGACAAGCAAGACAACTGAGGTAATTTCGCTAAAAGTATCAATCGAATGATAATAATGCGGTGCTCGAGTTTCACATGAGAAAACAATGACAAGACCGACAAGATTTCAAACGAGGAAAATCCTTACGTTTTTGAAGAGCTTGGAAGTTTTCCACCTCCTGCTGCAGTTTTTTATGCAATTCCTCAGCCATAACTATAGAAGAAAGTTCCAATTTCACTTGATGAACTACTGGGTGGACCGTATTTTTGAGAGGTTATGTGGTACAACAAACAGACCACACTTCAATTGTCTTTACTGTGTGTAAAGCCTCCTACGAATAAGGCTAGAAAAGTTATTGTCAGAAAGAAGCAGAGCGGTCTCAGGGAAAAAGCCGTCACTTGATGACGGCGAAGTTTGTGTGAATTTTGAGCTTTTCAGGGATTTGGGTGACGTTGATCTTTCCCAGATCTAGGGCGCATTACCCGCCTCCTCTGAAGAAGTCCGGTCACGTCGCCCAGATGAAGTGTTGCAGGGTTATGTTTGCATGAATACAGAGTTGTATTTTTGACAGGTCTTCGTTGTCATGGCTCTTAACGGGTTTATGGAGTTTTTCCAGAAGGGGCAGGTAATTTAACTCATTTAGCCTGTTACGAAAATCAGACGTATAATGTGGTACTTGCAGACATGATTTTCTCAATTTTGAAATTTGTTGCTCCCACAGACATTCCGCCCCAAAAAGAAATTTTCTCCAGGAACACTACGCCATTCGTTGCACAAGCAAGCTCAAGCCTCTCTCAGTTCAGGAATTAATTTACGAGCTGTTGTCAAATTACCACCAGGTGAAGAATTGAATGATTGGATTGCTGTCCATGGTATGATAAACATTCTAATTTCCATTCATCCCTTGTTATTTGCTCTCATAAGATAGTTTTAACTTTTTTTTTATATCCTAGTTGTTGACTTCTTCAACCGGATTAACTTGATATATGGGACAGTTGCTGAGTATTGTACTGAAACATCATGTCCAGCGATGTCAGGTGGTCCCAAGTTTGAATACCTGTGGGCTGATGGAAACAAATACAAGAAACCGACCCCCTTGCCAGCCCCTCAATATGTGTCATTATTGATGGATTGGATAGAGGCTCAAATAAATAATGAAACACTTTTTCCTGTGTCCACTGGTATGTAGGGTGATGTATTCATTTTAAATTTTTTGTTCAGGGTCAAGCTTGAAATAGTAATTTTAATCCATGAATTGTATTGTTTCAGATGTTCCTTTCCCCAAAACTTTTCAAGCTCTTTGTAGAAAAATTCTGACTAGACTGTTCAGGGTGTTTGTGCATGTGTACATCCACCACTTTGACAGGATAGTAGAAATTGGCGCTGTAAGTTGCTTTTATGACACCTTTATCTAACCCTACAACTTTCCCATATGTTATCTAATTTTAACTGTTTCAGGAGCCCCATGTGAATACCTGCTACAAACATTTTTACTACTTTGTCCGTGAATTTGATCTAGTGGGTACAAGGGAACTTGAACCTTTAGTAGAAATGACGTCACGGATTTGCAGGGACCCTTCTCCTGCACCAGAGAATCCTCATTCTGCACCCTCACAGTAAAAAAAAATGGGTTTGTTTTGTAATGTATGTCTTGTGGCCAGGATTTCTCTTCATCCTTCCAACATAAAATATACATTTAGACATAGATCTGAAATTGGATGATTTATTCATCTCTGTGTGAAGTAGATAATACCAAGACTCTTTATTTTATGCTTCTAATCTAGTTGGTTTCGCTAATTGTGTTCATCATTTTTTTGAAAAAAATACTCTGCAGCCTGCATTATTGAACAAAACAAAGTCATTCAAATGTCTGAATTTAAATGTCTGTTAAAGAGAATTTGAGTGGTATTTCTTTAAATGTGCTCTCTGCTTTTATTGGTTCTTGACTCTTATGTACCTTTGTAGTATTGGCTTTTGTGTAAACTGTACTCAAATGAAATGTATTTAATATATGGGGCATTGTTAATTCATCTGCATGGGGGGAAAATCATTTTTCTTGTATGTATTTGGGGTCTGAATTTTTAAAATCAAATCATTGTTACTGGGGAACTATCTAGTGTATTGCTTCGGTTTTAAAAAAGTTTTGGCTTGTTTGGTTTTGATAAGTTATGGTTTAAAATTTGAGAAACCCAGTTCTGATGTTCCTTCAAAAGCATGTACATGTACATGTTGGGTTCTCTGAAGTTTTAAGAATTATGTTCAACCTGTGGTTGCTTTGGCTCTTTCTAACAAAAATGAAGTGTTCATTTTTACCTTATGTTTGTGTAATGAGAATGTCAACAGATGCCAAAGTTGAACTGGCTATGTGCCAAGTTACCATATTTTGTTTTCTTTTTTGTATTATAGTTTATACTTGCTTAGCATTCTTTCAGTCTGCTCCAAGTTTTATTTTGTGTATGGCTTATTCATGGATACTAGCACAGATATAGTGTTATTCTGTGTTTGTTATAATTTTTCTCTGCTAGGTTGTGTAAAAGATCTTGCAGCATCTAGTGTATTTTTAATTTTTCTTTGTGTAATATCCAGCTCTGTACAAAAATGTTTAGTGAACTTCAAGCACATCGATTTTACTGCATGGTTAGCTGAGCAATGGAAGATTGGCAAGATTGTGGAAATCACTCTGTATATTTTGTTTGTGTTTCAATCATGTTTGGGAAGTCAACATTTGTCTGTGATGTAAGAGATGATCTAAGAAATGTCAATCTGTTTTGTGTTTTAGTCAGTGTTTTTGAGAGGTGTCCTCTACTTTCGTCATTCCAGTTGACTCAACAACAACACAATGTTATTGCTCAGTTAAGCCCCTTAAGAGGATTGCGTTGTTTTCAAGAATGGAAAAGTACAGAAAATTAAGTTTTTATTCAGTTGTTCCTTTTAACTTGTTGCTTTAGTTTGTTTCCTGCAATGTTCTTTCCTTTTTTTGTTTTGTTTGAACTGATGCAGGATAAGAATGTTTTAAATGTCTGTGTTGAGATTTATTTGTTAGTGGCTGTTTGTTTTCCTTAAACCTTCCACATTAATGATTCATTTTTATTTTAGAGTTAAAATTTGTCAAATGAAGTGCTAATGTTTTTATAAAAATCAAGTTTTGGAATGTTTTTGATTGATTACCCAGTGAGTATTTAACTTTTTGTTGCCATAAATTTTAATAATTAAGGAACTCTGATGCCATTCGCAAACAGCCTCCATTTCTTGTATTAAAAAATGTTGCAACTTTCATACTAAGAACAACTCAAGTGTAATTACTTTTCTTCCTTGCACCGGGGAGAAAACAATGAGCACGTTTCTGGATCTTGCTTTAAATGTCAATTTCAATCTTTTGCTGCAACCATTTCTCTGGGATCCCGGTGTCCTAATAGTAATATTTTCACACAGTGTTGTGGTATTATTATGAATTAAAAGCTTCGTCTGGTTTTTGACTTGCGTTTTGTTTTACCTCTCGAATTGCCATCTTTTCCGTCGCCCATATTTTCACAATGTTACTGTTAGTACAGTCTGGGAGCCTCAAAGTAAACCTCTCTAGTGACGTCCTTCGTCCCGGGGGAGGGGGGCCTCGGCGGCCGGCAAGGGGCTGTGGGTGGGGGTACTCGTTCTAGCCGCACTAGAGAAACGGGAAACCGACTGGAGTAGCTGCTACCCATCCATCGAGAGCTTCCTCCGTTCGCCGGTGGGCAAGCGCTGCATTCGCACGCGCGAACTGGCACGAACACAAACAGCGAAATGGGTGTGCATTTTGTTTCGGGGTATTCTTCCCAAACAAAGGAAGAATGACTCGAACAGAGTATTTTTGAAAGCTTTTACAAGAACTTAGTATGGTTAGGTGACATAAAAAACGAGAGACAACGATTATATAAGCCAAATAAGTGGTAAACAGGATAGGTACTTTCGGCGGGTCGTCTGCTGCGACCCGCGGTTAACGCCCTCTGTGGCGGACGGTGGAAGCTCCAAGGCCCCGGTCTTAACGTGTGCCATTTTAAGCTCTTGAGTGCAAATCTAGGCGATGTCTTGAGAAGTCGAGCGGATGTTCGTCTCGAGTCATCCCCTTTCCACCCCGATAAACGGTTTCTATTTTCGATGAAAGGTGTGTGCGGGCACACGACTGGACACGAGTTCACCCGCGGGGGCCGCTGCCGCTACTCCCGCGACCGTTCCTCTCAAGGACGCGAGCGCGGTTCGGTTTTTCTTTCGGTCGATGCGGTCGGCTCTGAGCGCCAGTCCGGCAGTCCGGGCCGAGAGATGGCGTTGGTCCCGCTCCCGCCCGAGTACACACAGTTGCGAGTGCGCCGCTAGCGAGCGAGCCTGGCCGCGCACAACGAGGCCGAAACGGTGCTGCGCGTTCGTGATCTGACGACAGGGAAATTAAAACGTCCAAAAGGGGGAGGGGGAAAAGGCCAAAACCCCCCCGCGTCCCCCCGGGGTCAGGGCCGGGGGCCCCCTTCCAAATGTTGTTCCATTTTTTGGCGTGCCGCCCCGCCCCTGACCGCCTCAGCGGGAAAGCGCCGGCCGGGGCCGACACGCCCGGAAAGGCCCGGGTCACCACCTGACACTGCTTCCGGGCTGCGTCGCTCGCTTGCCCCCTGGGGGCCCCGGGGGCCCGGCTGGGGTCCCTGTCCCCGGGGCGTGGACTTCCTCCCGGTTCCATGTCCACCTCGGCAAAGACGGTGGGGATCCAGTGGGGGAAAGGGGCCCGGCCCCGTTGGCCCCGCCTGAAGGCCCCCCGCAAAACTAACCCTTAGGCTATGCCACAAAAATGGACGCCGGCCCGACACAGCCGACAGGCAACCGCATTGGCCCGCGATAGAAGAGCATGTGACACCTTGCGAAAAAAGGTGCGTGCTTGTCTCTCGCTGGACAACCTTAAACGGGACTCTAGGTGCGTTGAAGCAAGCCCCGACTTTTGGGAGCCAGCCTCCCTGCCAAAGGGCTTCTCGGGGCGGGGCCTGGAGGGCTTTGTCCGGGGTGAAATGGCCCCCCCAAGGTCCACGTCCACCCTGCGGCAAGTGCTCAGTGCGGATCCCTTGGGGGTCAAAAGGCCCAGTGAACCCCGTCTATTTCCCCCTGGAAGGTAGGCAAGGCGCTGCACTCGGCCCCTGGCAGTGTGCTTAAACTGCCACCCTCCGGCCGGCCCTGGATCCGCCGCGGGAAATGGAGGCAGCCTGTGAGGCTGTGATGATAACGCCACGGCGGCCGGTCCGTGCATTAATTCCCAACGGTGGCGAGATGATGTAAGGTAGGAATAAGAAGGGCGAGGAGACGAGTCGAGAGGGAAGAGGGGTGGGGGGGCTTTGGCGGGAGTCCTGGCTCTACTGTCCCGCCTGGTCCCACTCTGGTTTCTCTTCGGCTGTCATTCCCTTTAGCTGGCTGCTAACACGCGAGCTGGCCGTGTGGCCACACTGCTAGAACGGCGAGGCGACCGGGCGGACCGGGCGGCCCTTTGCCGGGTCTGCATCATTAATTCATGGAGTGTCAGTCAACGACCTGCCGTTCAATCGAAGAGTCAGTAGAATTTCCGAAAGGGGGAGGGAAGGGGCAAAGGAGCTAAGCGTTGCACTCGTATCGTCCCGTATCGTCCTCATCGAAAGCAGACGACATCGGTCCCCTGTGCATTTTGCAATTTCCGCTGCTTTTCCTCCTTCACCGAGCTTGCAGAGGTCAGTACGGCGCGAGCCCCACCGCTTGTCGCAACACTTCACACCTACTTAAGCCCCCTTGATCGCGGATTGAGCCTCTGCCGATGTCACGTCGTGGTGCAATTCAAAATCGCGTCATGATTGTGTATATTGTCGAGTGCCATACCGGCGGCGGCTATCTTTTTAGAGTGTGGGCGCCGGGAGGTCCACGCGGGGCTTATCGGCGGCGCACGCCTTGGCGCACGCCGCGCACGCGTCCCGGGTAAACAGTCGGCGGAGGAGCAAAGCCGGGCCAAGCCGGGCAAAGCGGAAAGACGGCGAGTACACCAGTAAAGCGAGGTAAACACGGCGAGGCGGGGGAGGGGGAGGGGGGCCGCCGTGAAGGCAGGCAACAAGCTCGACACTGCGCCTGCGTGCAGGCAAAAGGTGCGACAGTGACAGGTCCCTTGCCGCAAAAACATCTCTAGAGTCGCCCCTGCACCGCAGCGGCCGACATTGTACAGTGTACCGTCGCGTCCTTGACCCAGTGGAACAGATAAATTGAAACCAACGAGGCAACTGGGGAGTTTATGTCCCTTTTCCACTCTAGTGTGTGGAAACGGACAGCTGAGCTGACCAGTTGGTGGAACGGCAAAACGGAAGCGTTCTCTCACGCCTTTCTTCAGGCGTGGTGATTGCTGCACTTGGCTCCAAACCAATTGGGATCTGCTGCCTCTGGCGTCTCTAAATGCGAGGAAGATTTTCTTCTCTACGCTTTAGACTTCGAGCAGGTGCCTGCCTCCTTGAATGAAGCGTGACCTCGTGCACCAGTGCACTTGCCACTTGCTGGCCGCCGCATTCTCGTCTTCCTTGTCTGCTCCACTGGTATCTCGAAGGTCTAGGATGCCCCCCCCCCTCTCTCTCTCTCCTCTATCAACGCGGTCGCGGTCAACCCGCGTGTCATCACCGCACAAGCTGCCGCCGTGTCGCGGGTCACCTCGGAAAAGATGTGGCGATAGTGTCAAGATGTGCGAAGCAAAAATCCGCCTGCGAGTAGGGTTAGATAGCGACGATAGGGGATGCTGGCTTTCAGGGTGTAGGGTGGTCGCACGCCTGGCACGGGCAAGGCAGCGAGGGCCGGCCAGCAAAAGGGGAAGGGGTGGGGGATGGAGTGTATTCATTAAAAAGGCCCTCCCGAGTTGTTTTCCCCCTTTTCCCCGAGGGGGAAAAACAACGATTTTCGGTGTAAAACATTGGTTGAGGAAAAACATAATGATTGGCCGCATGGTTTTAAGTTTTCAGGCTGGATTTTGCCTATTTCGCGAGAAAAAACCAGGGCTGATGTTGAGCGGGGATTGCCATGTGATTTTTGTTCGGAAAGAAATGATTTGGACTGATTTGGCCTGGTTTCCCGTGTGATTTTTTGCCCTAATTTCGGTTTGGGGATTTTTTAGTGATTTTGGCTCCATTTGGGATTGCTTTGGGTTCGCGGGGATTTTTCTCATTTGATTTGGGCGGTGTGATTTGGGGGCCGTGTCCCCACATTTGCGGCCGGATTGTCTTTTGCCCCCTGGTGTTTCCTTCAGGTTGGAGCCTCTCACGACCGGCGGGGAACCGCGGGCTCAGACAAGGGTTTTACCCGCCCCCTGGTATCGGGGTGTCACCCCCGGTAAAGATTGGCGAATTCAAGACAAGAAAAAAACTCCCCCTAGTATAGATAGTTTATATCGGATTGGGGATGCTTTTCGGGGGTGAAAGGTTGGCCAAAAGTCAACTGGCCAAAAAGGGGAGGGTTTTGGGGTATGTTTTAAAGGTATCACTGGTTCAGTATTTCCTTTGGGGTACATCCACGGCTAGGGCACGCCCGCGGCTGAGACCAGCCTCTGCCGGTCACGCCTCGCACGCCAAACAGTGGAGTGCTTAGCCAACCGGCAGAACGAGTCGGCAGCGACGCAGCGGATACCTATGACGTTGCACGGCCCGCTCATGTTGACTGTGACCTATGTGACAGTGCCCTCCTGCAGAGCCATCCCGTACAGCGCTTCGACGCTGTGTCTCTGTCGCTCCCCGAGGGCACTCCCCGCGAGTGCGACAGAGACAGCGACGATACTATCCTTCGGCATGAGGCGGCAGAGCGACCGACGCTCTGCATTCCGCACCAGCCTGCCTGCAGACTCATTCCGAGGGTCTCTTCCGTCGCTCTGTCTCTCTCGCACTCATGGGGCGTCCCGTACAGGCGCGAGAGACACAGAGCGACGAAAACGACTCTCGGAATGAGTCCGCTGCGTGCGCGCCGCGCGGCGGGCGCACCGCGGGGTCTTCGGTCGATGGCGAGGCGCGGCGAGGCGCGGCGAGGCGAGGCACCATCACAGGCGTGGTTTTCATTTCCATTTCATGTATTCGGGGGGCGGTACGTTTGATGGCGGACGTGGCGTGGCGGTGAGCGTCTGCATTGTCCTGCCGCGGCCGATTGTCCGTCCCGTCGGCCCCTCGGCCCGAACTGGACTAGTGAGGCACACTACACTGCTGCCGGTGTTATGTCCTGCAGTGTGCGTGCATGCCGACGGCATCAGGTGGCACCGAGTGCACGCCACTCGCCGGTCTGTCTCTCTCGCACACCCAGGTGGCGTGGTGGCGTTCCGCCTGCGTGCGAGAGAGACAGATAGAGAAACGGAAAAGAGGGGGCCGGACAATCGGCCGCGGCAGGGATAGGCTATAAGGTCTAATAGAGAGGCATCGCTCTGCGGTGGACGCCGCGGCAGCGCTATGCTTAGTCGCTCGAGTGCCGAGTCAGCCCAACAAGCCCACTGGCTCTGATGGCTCCGCGAAGCCGCGAAGCGCTTCCAAAGCTTGCCGCGTCTCTATTAGGGGCCCGCGGCTCGCATGACGGGCCACGCCCCCCCCCCCCCCACGAGACGTCCCACGCGTGCGACAGAGTAGGCAGTGTGCTGGCCAGCAAAGGCAGCGAAAAGGCCGGGCAGCTTCACATGTCGCGGCCATGCGCCCCAGTCCTGCCCAGTCCCCAACAGGCCGTTTCCGAGCACTGCTCTCGACGCTCTGTCTCTCTCGCACTCGCTGGGCATGGCGTAATGGTCCCCCGCCCTCTAGGTTCTAGGCTCTAGTGATAGCGCTCGCGGCCGTGGCCGTGCCCGCCCGGTCGCGGCGACCCCGCGTCGCGCTGCGCCGATTCGCTGCCGAGCGATTTCGAAGACTCGCCTCGTCGCTCTGTCTCTCTCGCAGCGCTCGCAGCCCCACGCGACGCCCCTAGAGTGCGAGAGAGACAGGGCGACGAGGCGATAGTCTTCGGAATGAGTCTGCTGACTCGGCCAATTGGTCTGCGAGATGCGCGATGCGCTGCCGTCGACGTGACGGCCTGCCGGCGCCACATGCCCACCAATGCCCGCCCAGCAGACTCATTCCGACAGCCGATTTCGTCGCTCTGTCTCTCTCGCACCAATACGGGACGCCCCATGCGCGCGAGAGAGACAGGGCGACGAAAAACGACTCTGGGAATCAGTCCGCAGTCACCCAGTGGCCACGGCCCATCAGCGTCCTTTCGGCACTTGTCCGTCAAGCACAGCCCGCAGCAGATCTTACAGCGGACTCGCTCTGTCCCTCTCGCACTCACGGGGCGTCCCTTTTGGGTGCGAGAGAGACACAGCGACGCAAACGGCTCTCGGAATGAGCGTCCCGCTGCGTCCCGCTGCAGGTGCAGCAACGTAGGCCGCCCGCCGGACACGGCTGCGCGGCGGGCCGGCCGGCCGGCCTTGTCGGGCGCTTATCACGCGGTCGATCTCGTCGCTGCCTCCCTCTCTCCTTCTCCCTGCCGGTGCAGCCACCCGATTCCGAAGGACCGTCTCGTCGCTCTGTCTCTCTTGCACTCATGGGGGCGCCCCGTGAGTGCGAGAGAGACAGAGTGACGAACCGATCCTTCGGAATCGGCCGGTCGGCCTCCTGTTCGCACCTCGCGGCCGCGGGCCGTGGCGGTGGTGGTGCGGTGCGGTGCGGGGGGCGCAGTTCGACGGCGAGGTCCGCGGGACGGCCGGGACGGCCGGGACGGCACCGCGCGGTGGAGCAATGCGTCGACCGCGCGAAAATAGAGACTCTGAGAGAGGCTTTGCACGCGAGTTAGCCGGCCGGCCGCCGGCTGGACGCTCTGCTCGCTGTGCGCGCTCCGCTGTGCTCCGCTGCTGTGGCGGCGGCAGCTAGCAGCTAGGCGACGACGGCCCCTCTCCCCCCTAGCGGCGGCCGGCCGCAGCCGGGCCGGCCCAGCCCCCAGGGACAGCGGCCGTTCTGCTCGCCCTGCCGCTGTTTGGTGTTTGTCCGGCGTGTCCTTGGGACGGGCCGACGGCGCGGCGCTGCGCTGCGCGGCTGGGAGACCGCCGCGCTCGGCTTTTGGTTGCTGCGGTCGCGGTGCCCTGCCCTGCCCTGCCCTGCCCGGCCGTCCGCGCATCGTGTCGCCATTATTCGGCGACCCCCTGTTCCCAGGCGGCGCGCTGACGCCGAGGGTCGTTATCGTCGCTCTGTCTCTCTCGCACCCGTCCGGAACGCCCCACGAGTGCGAGAGAGACAGAGCGACGAAAACGACCGCCGGAGTCTTCTGCCATCGTGGCCCTCGTGGCTCGCGGCGGCGTGGGCGTGCATGGGACGCGCCGGAGCATGACTGGCACTTCGGCAACGAGGGCTTAGCGCGCTGAATTATCATTCGCGTTTTTGTAGTGTGGTGTGCGGAGTTTATCATCCCTCTGATCTGATACTCTATTTCGTGCGTGCCTGCACCCTTTTCACTTGACCACACGTCCAATTTGGCGCGAAGCAACCGCGCGAAAAACCGGCACTGTTCGTTGGTTCGAGTTAGGTCCCGTCCTGGATCGCCCTCGGCACTCATGGGGCGTCGCGTACGGGTGCGAGAGTCAGAGCGACGAGAGTCCTGTTGCAAAAAGATGGCCTGCCAGGAAGGCGGGACTTTATTCCCTTTCCCATGCTGCGACCAAGATGGGGCAATGTGGTTTTTGACCCCCCCCCCCCATAGCCCCTAGATAGCCGCCTGAAAGGTAGACAAAAAGTGCTACTGTGCCCCTGTAAGTAGGCAAAAAGTGCTACTTTGCCCCTGTAAGTAGGCAAAAAGTGCTACTTTGCCCCTGTAAGTAGGCAAAAAGTGCTACTTTGCCCCTGTAAGTAGGCAAATAGTGCTACTTTGCCCCTGTAAGTATGCAAAAAGTGCTACTGTGCCCCTGTCAGTAGGCAAAAAGTGCGACCCCCCCCCAATAGGCCGCCTCTGGATCCGCCACTGGATGCGATCCGGCAGAGCAGAAAGGGGTGAGTCCTGCCCGGTCCTGCCTGTCAGCGCCGCCAGCCCGACCAGCCCGGCCAGCCACTCCAGCGCGGCCTTGCCGGCCTTGCGCAAGTGCCGAGTCATCGCGAGTCATGGAGTCGCCGACGTCGCCGAGGGCTTCCCCCGTTCCCCGCGCCAACCTCGCCGAGGCACGCCGACCCATCCCATCCCATCCCATCCAGCCTCTCAAATTATACGGCGCCCAACAGCGGCGGCGTGGCGTGGCGTGACGTAGCGTGCGTGTTGGCCGACTAGTTGGGACCAAGTTGCTGGTTCCGCGGGCCGGGTCGGCGGGGCCCACGACCCGACCCTGTTTGTGGCCGAGCTGTCCCTCCAAAAACCGCGCTCCAGAAGAACGAGGTGTATCGGTACCATGGCTACAGAGGCTGGACTTGGGAATGGGTACCGGTGATGACAACTTCCGGAGCATTTCTTTTCCATTTCCCGGAGACACTTACATGTGAGGAGGCCCATCCGCCGAACAGCAGACTGATTCCGTGAGTCGTTTTCGTCGCTCTGTCTCTGTCACACCCACCCGGGACGCCCCACGAGTGCGAGAGAGACAGAGCGACGAAAACGACCAGCGGAATCAGTGTGCAGCGCAGTGTGTGGGACGATCTGGCACAGTGAAATAATTGCTCCGCTGTCTTAATCATGGAAGTGGCGCATCGATCGGCGAATGGCCGGAATGGGAGCGGCAGCGCGCTGAGTCGCTCTGTCTCTCTCGCACTCATGGGGCGTGCCGCAGGGCCGAAGGGGTGCGAGAGAGACAGACACGCCTGCAGGGACGGCGCGTGCCGCGGGGTCCGCCTAGGTCCGGCCGCCTACGGCCGCCCAAGCGCCAGGGAAGGCCCAGCCCGGCTCGGCCCGCTGCCGGCGAGACTCAGCGAGACTGCACTAGAGCGAGAGTAACCAAGGCAGGACTTTGTTCGGCGTGCGGAGACGCGGGGACTAGACGGGGACTTATTTCGAGTGACGGCGTGCTGTGCTGTGCGCTGCGCTGCCTGCACGAGGCGGGGCGGCACGGCACGGGACGAGCGTGCACGCCTGCGGTGCCTGCGGTGCCTTCGGCATGACGCGGCTTGAAGCCTCAAGTCAAGTCTGGCGAGTCTAGCCCGCGCCGAGGTGCGGCGCTGGCGGAAGGCCAGGCGAGCGCCTCGGAAGAGTCGTTTCGTCGCTCTGTCTCTGTCGCACTCATGGGGCTCTCCGTTAGGGTGCGAGAGAGACAGGTAACCGCTCCTCTGAATCGGTCGGCAGCAGGCGACCAGCTGGCCATGTGATGCGGTCGCCGCTCGCTCGGGGCACGGTCGCGCGGTCGCGCTCGGGGTTTTGGGGCTGGCACCACCAACTTTTAGTCACGGATGTGAAGCCATCCCACTGTGGGTTGGAACCCCTAACTTGAACTTCCCTCACTGTCACTGTCAGTGATATTGCCCGGGGGGTGGGGGTGGGATGGGGACATTCCAATGGTGGCCTTCCTGATACTGCACGTTTCACTGAAATAATCCCATCCTTTGTGTTTCCAGCTGGATTTATCCCTTTTTCTGGAAGGGATGGAAGAGAACACTGGAGGTAGAGGATATATACGATCCTCTCAAAGTAGACCAATCAGTTGTTTTGGGGGACAAATTAGCAGCGTAAGTTGAGTGTATGAGCCAATTTTGTTCTTCAATTTTGCATGTGATTTGTTTTTTTTTATTTCTTTTTGCCTTTTTTCAGTAATTGGGAATTGGAACTATCTCGTCAAAATGAAAAGTCAAGCCGACCCCCAAGCCTCATCCGCAGTTTATTGCGGACATTTACCACTGACTTGATTATTCTAGCTATTCCAATGTTGATAGAAATTACTTTGAAGTAAGTGCCATTTTAATCCACTGGGACTTATATTTAATACAAACTCACTATGTATCCTTCTATTAAAACTCATGCAATTTTACAGTATTACTCAAAGCATTCTTCTTGGTAAGCTTTTATCCCACTTCCGGCCTGTTCCGCTGGTTTCTAGAGAAGATGCAATGATATATGCAGGTGCAATGGTCCTATGCACCCTCATCTCCCTCGTTTGTCGGAATACCTATGAGCTGACAGCATATCATACTGGGCTACGCATTAGGGCAGCATGCTGTTCCATCATTTATCGCAAGGTAATAATCAATTTTGTGTGGAATCATGATTGAATTAAATTCATAGAATATTTAATTTTATCATTCACCTATGTTCCAGGCTCTGAGATTAAGTAGCAGTGCCATGGGAGACATGGCATCGGGTCAAGTAGTGAATTTACTCTCAAATGATGTCAGCCGGTTTGATATCATGTCAATATTTTTTCATTATATGTGGACAGCCCCACTTCTGACAGTAGTTATTATGGTGCTTTTTGTGAGAGATGGAGGCTTACCAGCTCTATGTGGATTTTCAGTTATTTTGTCAGTGACACTAGCTCAATGTAAGTGGTCTTCTAAAAGATTTTTCATTTGGTCAAGGGTTTGACTTCACAGGTCAAAATAAAATTTTGTTTATTTGTTATTCAAGCATACATTGGTAAGCTGTCCTCCAAATTTCGCCGTTACATTGCCCTTCGAACTGACGAACGTGTTCGGCTGGTCAATGAAGTTATTTCTGGCATCCAAGTAATCAAGATGTATGCTTGGGAGAAACCATTCATTGCCCTCATCAGAATGGCAAGAGTGTAAATATCAGTCAGCAATATATTTTGAGGAGAGAATCTGCTACTAATATCAATTATTTATTTACCATATTTTTTTTCTGTTTTTGCAGGAAAGAACTTTTTGAGTTGAGAAAGACAGCAACAGTACGTGCAATTTTCATGACGGCCCATTTGTGCACAACTCGGCTTTCTCTCTTTGTTTCTATTTTAGCTGTTTCTATGGTTGGAACAAGAATTACTTCAGATAAGGTGAAAGATAGATAACTTTCAGTTGTTTCTATTCATTTTTGTAAATATGCATTACTGAAGGCTTTCTTTTTTCCTCATTTTGATTTATTAGGTTTTTGTTTTCCATTCTTATTATAATGTGATATCATGGGCCTTATCTGGAATGTTTGTTCGTGGTTGTGCTGAACTTTCAGAAAGTTACACCTCTATCCAGAGAATTCAGGTATGCATGGAAGTTTGGCATCCAAATGGACTTATCAAACAAATATTTTAAATTTGGCATAATTTTCTTTGATTTTGTGTTGTTTTCAGAGTTTCTTGTTAAAAGAAGAATTTACATCTGTACCTAGTATTGAAAATAAAAATGGTAAACATGAGAACGAACCGAGCAAGAAAAATGAAGAAACCAAGGCACTTTTGAATGGTACAAAACCTGTTCCATTCATTGAACCTCTTGATGAAAATTGCCGATTAATGCTTGATAATGTGGAAGCAAAGTGGAATCTGGATTCACCCAATCTGTCTCTTGATAAAATGAGTTTCAGTGTGGCAAAAGGACAGCTCCTTGCCATCATTGGTCCTGTTGGTGCAGGAAAGGTAAAGCATCCAGCAGGGTCTGTGCATTCATCCTTTTTAACTGTAACTTATTGTGCTCCTGTTTTGCTTGCTAGAGTTCTGTTCTTCAATCTATTCTGGGAGAGCTAAAACCACTTGAGGGTAAGGGAAGTGTGAAAATTAATGGAAAAATATCATATGCAAGCCAAGATTCATGGGTGTTTGCTGCAACAGTCCGACAAAATATTTTGTTTGGATCTGCCTATGACAAGAAACGGTATGAAAAGGTAATATTGTAATTGCTAATTCTGTGATGTCTACGATATTCAAACAAAAATGTGTGTAAACAGCAGCTTAAATACAAATTTCTGACCTGCAGGTTGTCAAATCGTGTGCTTTGCTGAAGGATTTTGAACAATTTCCACAAGGTGATTTTACCATTATTGGTGAGAGGGGTGTTTCACTTTCTGGTGGGCAGAAAGCTCGTATCAATCTTGCTAGGTAAATGTATAGTTGTGATTTAAACCCATCAATACATTCAGTTTCTGTTAACTGTTGTTTTCATTGTCATTCAGGGCTGTTTATCGAGATGCAGATATTTATTTATTGGATGACCCTTTGTCAGCTGTTGACACACATGTTGGACAACATCTATTTGATGAATGCATGCGTGGGATACTGAGACAGAAGACAGTTGTCCTTGTTACTCATCAATTACAGTACTTGAAAGGAGCAGACCTCATTCTTCTGATTCAAAATGTAAGATTTAAATACAAATTTTGTTTTGAATGGCTTACAAGAATAATGCTCATTTTTCTACTTAATTTAAAAATAGGGCCGCAGTGTGGCACTGGGCACATATCAGGAAATTGTCAACACAGGAATTGACTATGCAAAGTTGTTAAAAGAAGAGGAAGACAATGATGATAGCAAATCTGAAGCGTCCAACACCAATGAATTGGTGCCGCAACAACTTTCTTTACGCCGGTCAACATCTAGAGAAGTGAGTGCCTTGTTTTTACTGGTCTGATTTCTGCTATCCCATTTTTAATACTAAATCAAATTTGTCTCAATTTTCAACTCCTCAGAGAAAGAAGTCAAATGTGTCATCTTTTACATCCTCTTTAGTGAGCCTTCATTCTCAAAAGTCAGATGGCAAAGAAGAGCAGCCTCAGCAGCCCACTTCTCCCCTTGTTGACAAAATGGAAGCATCTTCCAAAGGAGTAGTAGAAGGATCAGTTTATTTGCACTACTTCAAAGCTAGTGGTTCTCTACTTTTGCTTTTAGTAGTCATATTCTTCTTTATATTAACTCAGATAGCTGCTTCTGGCACAGATTATTGGGTAGCTTACTGGTGAGTTTTTCATTTTTCTGCTCTGAAAACATCTACATAAAATTTTTCTTTGAGAATTTTTTTTTTTAAATTCCTTTTTCAGGACAAAAATTGAGGACAATCGTCCTCGCTTGGATGGGGAGTTCAATAGCACCTATCCTAAGGTGAACTACACTGCTGTTCCTATGAATAATACTGCGTCTGATGCAGTCATGCCTCTAATGGATCTGAGCACTGATTTATGTGCATACATTTATGCTGGATTGGCCTTTTCGACACTTTTTATATGTGTAATCCGATCAGCTGTATATTATTACTTGGTTCTCCGAATATCACAACGACTCCATGACTTCATGTTTTCTTCTGTTATTGCTGCTCCAATGAGATTTTTTGATACCAACCCATCAGGTAATTAAGCTTTGTCACTGGTCTCCTGTTCAGTCCTAAATTTTTCATGCCAGAATATTTTGAATATCTTACCATGTCTGTTTGCTTTTGTTTCAGGTCGCATTTTGAATCGATTTGCAAAAGATATGGGGTCAGTAGATGAGATTTTACCTAAAATTATTTTAGATTCTTCACAGGTAGGACTCCTCATCTAACATTTACTTAATATTTAAGTATATTAGTAATTTTGCATTTGCATTTTTACTTTGTAGGTAATCTTGAACTTGGCTGGATCATTTACTCTGACAGTCATAACAAATTATTTTCTATTGATCCCTCTATCAGTAATGTTTGTTATACTTCGCTGCCTTCAAAAGTTTTATTTGAAGACTTCTAAGGATGTTAAGCGTATTGAGGGCATGGGTAAGTAAATGCTGTTTTTCTCCTACATAAGTTCTAATACAGTTAAAAGAAATTTGCCTTCATTGTAAGCATGGTTGTTTTACAGTGCGCAGCCCTGTGTTTTCGCATTTAAATGTTTCCTTGCAAGGCATGGTCACCATCAGAGCATTTGGGGCTCAAAGGTTACTGAAAGAAGAATTTGATAAACACCAAGTGAGCCAAAGTTTTACCACTAATTGTGAATGATTTCATTCATAAACATGAAGACCTTGATTTTGATTTTTATGTTTTCAGGATCTTCATAGTGGAGCCTGGTTCATGCACTTGGCTGGGAGTTCAGCCTTCTCTTTCCTCTTAGAATTCACCACACTCTGTTACAACATGATTGTATTAATAAGCCTCTTTGCTTATACACAGGGTGAGTTCTTCATAAAATAACTAGCCCCTTCATTATTTTTATTTTGTCACTTTGCTAACTCTGTTTAATTATTCTTGTAGAGAGTTCTGGCGGTGAAGTGGGGCTTGCCATCACACAGTGCATGAGTCTACTGGGCATGCTGCAGTGGGGCATTCGGCAGTCAACTGAGGTGGCAAATAATATGATGGCAACGGAGAGAATTATAGAATATGTTCAGCTTCCACCTGAGCAAAAGGCATTGGCTAAGGAAAGCAAATTAGCTGTAGATTGGCCACAGAAGGGATGTGTGAAACTCGACCATGTATACTTGAAGTATTCTGATGATGAAGATCCTGTTCTTCGTGATCTCAACATTACGATTCAGCCAGGAGAAAAGGTAATTAACCATGTTCGAATCATCATACAGTATATTCTAATAAATGTCTGTTCATTTAAAACTTTTCTCCTAGGTTGGCATCGTGGGTCGCACTGGTGCTGGGAAGTCATCATTGATTGCAACGCTTTTTAGAATGGCTGTTGTGGAAGGCCATGTTGTCATTGATGATGTTGACACTGGTAATGTAACTCTGACTAAATTACGGTCATCTATATCCATAATTCCTCAAGATCCCGTCTTATTCTCTGGAACCATGCGTTACAACCTTGATCCATTTAATGAATACAAGGATGAAAAGCTTTGGCAGGCTCTAGACGAGGTAACTTGTTTTATTCATCCTTTGATTACTGTTTCCGCAATTTATTTACTTATCATTCTTGGGTATAATTTTTTTTCAGGTTGAATTGAAAGATGTCTTATCATCGGAGCTCGGGCTCAACTCCAGAGTTCTTGAACGTGGCAGCAATTTCAGTGTTGGTCAGCGTCAGCTGGTTTGTTTAGCAAGGGCCATTCTCCGTGCCAATAAAATCTTGATGATGGATGAAGCAACAGCAAATGTTGATCCACAGTAAGCTGTTTACAATTTGTACATGACACATGTTAATTTGACCTAAATTTACTAAATCTTACTGACATTCCTTGTCTGTTCCAGAACTGACAAACTTATTCAAACAACAATTCGAGAAAAGTTCAAGGCTTGCACTGTTCTCACTGTGGCTCATCGTCTAAATACCGTCATAGATTCTGATCGAGTTTTGGTGATGGACAGTGGCTCCGTTGTTGTAAGTGAAGATGTGTATATTTGAAAATGAAATAAAGTGTGGGTTCATTTGATACTTATTACTGTATGCTTCTGGTGTCCTTCTCTGTGCAGGAATTTGACCATCCACACAAACTACTTGAGAGACCTGGAGGAGTATTCACAGGCATGATCAACCAATTGGAGGGACATGGTGCTGAGCAGCTTAAGCAGACAGCCAAGCAGGTACTTTTCCCTACATTCATATGAATTTTGTTTTGTTGTTTTGAATTACATTTTAACTTTGATACTGTTTGGTTTGACAGCACTACAAGAATCATCATGCACCAGCGGAAAACTAAAGGATACTTTTCCCAAGCAGTCCACTGGTTCAGGCTGGTCACCTAGGCGGCTCTACTGATGTATTTGGTGGGTTGACAAGCACTCAAGGGGCAGAATTAATTGTCCCACTCGTGTGCCGCTCTATTCCAGTATTATGAAAAAAAAAATTATTTTTAAGCTACCTCATGCCTTAAAAAATCTAAATATTTTTTTAAAATATCTGTGAGCTTGTGTTGACTTTTGTCAACTTGGTGGTTTAGACATGTGATAATTATTTGATATTGAATGGTCCAAAATGTGCTAAGTTAATTTAGCACCACAATGACTTACTGTACTGTGCTTAATGGCCTTGCAAAATTGTGATAATATATTTTTGAGTCTGTAATAGTAGAAGAAAAAATATATTTGCTATGTAACCCTGTTTTGTAAACTGTTTCCCCATCAGTTAAATTTAGAAATGAAGATGGGCTATTCAGTATTTTTGTCAATTTCATATTCATATAGTCTATTTTGTAATATGTAAGTGTTCTTTCAATCACTTGTTGAGAAATCTGTGATTAAATTTATTTTATTACCAGTTTACTCCACAAGAGGGGAATCATTTTCTTGTTACTTTAGTTATATTCCTAGTTGTACTGAATCTTTGAGGGTAAATACTTTGTAATCTCAGTGTGCTGCTGACACAAATTTCTGAAATCTTACGATGCCGTTACTTAAAATAAATAATTGAAGCTCAATTGAAAACTTTGTGCTTTATTTGCCTTACAAGACTTATTTCTCCCCACTGTGCTCACTAAGGGGAATCTTTTGTACAGAAGAAACTTAAAAACACTTACGCTAACATTCACTCTTGATCATTCAAGTACTTACACACAAAATAACATTTACTTTTTCTCTATAAAAACATAAGAGATCATCTACTTTTTCTTGACATGAAGCAGCCTACCTTCATACCATTTTTCTCGATTTATTTGGTACTTTATCGTCTTTCCTCCTTCCGCTAGATTTTGCTTAAAATTATTTGGCCAGAGAGTAAGTCTCGTTCCCCATCACATCACGGTAAAATGTACTTTGTATAATGGATTCTATAGCCAAAAAAAGAAAAATACACTCAGGAGTCTTCCCTTCACGCAGTCGTCCAGTTTCGGGATAGTCTCCGTGAAATTTGCGCGGGAACTTGTCGAAATGTCCACCCCCTCAGTAGTTGGGCACCTGCAGCACTTGCGACTGGGCGGCCTCCTTGTTCCGCCGCTCCTCCTCCTTGAGGTCGTCGAAGTGCTTCCGGAAGATGACCCTGATCTCCTCGATGGGCTTGATGAGGCCGATGAGGACGTGGTCGTCTCGTCTCTGCAACAGGCAAACACGCACGGCGCTCTGGTCAGCAGGGCTTGCCATCTGATTTGCCGTCTCGCGCTCGTTCGTTCGGAAAGAGGCTCGGCGGGTTGCCGATCGGTGCGTTGTGGGGTGTGTAGTGTAGGCGCAGTGCGGAGAGCGACGCGGTGCCCTGTTATTTCTAGCCCCACGCCATCCCCGCCTGTGCCTGCCTGCTGCCTGCCTGCACGGCGCCGGGCGCGTGGAATGCAGTTTTTGTTTTTGTGCGGCTCGGACCGCGTGGGCGGCAGGGCCAAGCAGGGCACCATCGGGCAGGATGTGGGGGCGGGGCGGAGTGGAAGTTGGAGCGGCTAGCTGCGGCGGCTGCGGCCTGCGGCTCGAGGGGGCGAGGTCGGGGGTTGCCCGGGGAATGACTCACGGGCCGCGTGGCGCCTGGCCCACCCACACTGCCAACGCACACCAGGCGCTCGCGCCCAGAGGGGGTGTCACGCAGGTAATTTCAATTCATGTCCCACGGGGTATTCAATGTTTCAATAAAATTTCTTTACCATCAGTTTTATTGAATAGCGCCCAATTTCACTTTTGCACACAGCCCCTTACAGGTCGTGTAAAATTGAATTGAAACGGGCTATTCGATTCGACGTTTACGTTTTCTCGCGACATGAGTCACATGCCCATGCCCCTCCCCCCTAAATCTAAATCCTGCGTACGCCCCTGACACACTCAGGCACGCACCAAGCGGTGACGTCACCACGGCGAAGGAGGCGACCCTCCCCTCCAGTGACTCACCTGGAAGAGTGTCTCGCCCTCGAAGTCAACCAGACCCTGCTTCCGAGCGCGCAACAGCAGCCCCACCACCTTGTCGTTGATCACTGTGTACAGCTGCAACAGAAAAGCAACGTCACCACCTGCACCCTGCAAGTCGCACAGTGGTACAATGACCGGCGCAGGCGGCCAAAACTCTAGACACGTTTTGAGCTCCAGAGTCGCTAAACAGGACTCAAACCGAGCGTGTGACCCCACCAATGTCTTCCTCGTTCGGAGAGCAATCCGTTGGTGGGGTCACACGTTCGGTTCGAGTCCCATTTAGCGACTCTGGAGCTCAAAACGGGCTAAGAGTTTTATCCGCCTCCAGCGGTCCTCTGGCACACTGCGAGTGGGCTCCGTTTCCCTGTGACACGAGGTGCCTTGCCTTACCTGGAAGACGTCTCTGAAGCACATCACTTTGACGGGCATGCCATCCACGATCTGCAGCTCCCCCTCCTGGTTCAGGATCTCGCACAGCTCCAGGATGTCCTTGTTCATGGATATCCTGCCCTTGATGGCGCGGTACTCCGACTCCGAGCCGGGTGGAGGCCTGCGGGGGCAGAGAGACAGCTTGTACAGTGTTTCCTCGCTCTGTATCCTGCGCGCCCCCAACAGTGCGAGGGAGTCCGAGCGACGGAAGCGCGCAGGGGTTCTAGTTTTGCTTTTCATGGACGCGGGCATTACGCAAAGTCACGACTTGCTGCAAACAACGACTGCGACTTTGGCCCACATGTTGAACGGACTGCGGTTTTACGATGTTACCCGCGATGCTCTTTAATGGCCAACATCCCCGCTGCTGGCGTCCTGGCCCTGGCGTCCTGCACACCCCTGGCCCTGGCCAGCCCGCCAGCCGGCCAGCCGGCCAGCCCCACAGCGCCATCCCCCCCCCCTTTCCCCGCATTCCCAGCCGACCCTGACCGTCGAGCGGAGCGGCAAAGTCGAGCCGAGACGTCTGCATACCCGGCCAAGCATCACTCACCCGGCCGTCCCTCCCTCCCTCGTTTTGGTCGACACGTGAGTGGGAACTCGGCTCGGGATGGGGGCAACGAGGGGCACTAGCACGGCGGCAGCTCTTGGATCCCCACGACGCGTTGACGGACAGCGCTTTGTCGCTGTCTCTCTCGCACCCACACGGGGCGGCCGGGGCGGCCCGCACAGTGGGCCAGAAGACCGGTGGAGGTGGCCAAAACTCTAGACGCGTTTTGAGCTCCAGAGTCGCTAAACAGGCCTCGAAACGAACGTGTGACCCCACCAATGGATTCCTCGTTCGGAGAGCGATCCATTGGTGGGGTCACACGTTCGGTTCGAGTCCCAGCTACTCTGGAGCTCAAAACGCGTCGAGAGTTTTGGACGCCTCCGCCGGCTTCTGGCCCACTGAGGCCCGTGCGTGCGAGGGAGACAGAGCGCGGCTCGGAGGCACTCACTTGCCGTACTGGTCCTTGCTGAAGGTGGGGCGCGGCGACCGGCTGCCGGAGCGACTGCTGGCCGCGCTGAAGGGGTTCAGCTCCTGCTTCTTGATGTGCCTGTCCGCCTGCTGGTTGAACAGGGACACCTTCTCCGCCAGCGACGCCGCGAACCGCATGTCCGCCGCCTGTGGGGCACACCGCGAAGAAAGGGGGTGGGTCAACATAAACACTTTCAAACGGGATCACACTTTTCGTTTTGTCGGCGGAGGTGTTCCCCTCACAAAGTAGGGCGCTTGGCGGTGTGCGCTGCCCCGCATGGCTGCACATGGTATGCACGTCTTTGGCCGCGGTCCAGCAGGCCGCCCCGCCTCGCCCCGCCCCGCCCCGCCCCGCCCCGAAAATGAAGCATGCACGCGCCTCGTGTTCGTGCAGTCTGGCCGAGAGATAACCGCTCTTGTTTCTCAAATACTCCTGAGCCCGACGAGTGATCCTGCAGACGGATTCCGAGAGAGTCTTTTCCGTCGCTCTGCAACCCTCACACTCATGGGGCGTCCTGTATAGGCGCGAGAGAGACAGAGCGACGAAAACGACTCTCGGAATGTGTCTGCGCTCGCCTTGCCTTGCCGCCCCTCGCAGCCGAAGCCGTGCCGCAGTCCGAGCCGCGGCAGGCGTTGCCCTGGCGTTGCCCTCTCGGCCTCCACGCCCACGACGCGCAAACAGGATCGGTGGCGCCCGGCCCGTCGGGCCCGTCCCGTCCCGCCCACCCTTGAGGGCGCTTGAGGGCGCCGGGGAAGCCAGCAGGCCGATTCCGAGCAACGCTCTGTCTCCCTCGTCCTCGTGACCGCGTTCCGCAGGGTGCGAGAGAGACAGAGCGGCGAGACACTGCTTCGGAATCAGCCTGCACCAGTCCCGGCGGGCTTGGCTGGGCCGGCTGGCGGCGGATAAAAGAAGTCGAGCATTCGACGAGGCGGCACAAGTCAAAACACGCGAGCTTTAGATCGCCTGCGGCGGGATCGGGGCGCTCGCGCTCGCGGCGTCCGCTTTTTCCTCCTGACCGGCGCGGGCTGCGCGGGCAGGACGTCACCACCGGGGCCGTTGGGGCAAGGGCAGGGGCAAGGACAAGCTAGGGCAGTGCCGCGGCGCCGGGCTGGCGGCGTGTGTGTGTGCGTCCCTGAGGCCCTTGGTCGCAGCTGCGGCCCTGGCTGCCCGCGTGCCCGTCGCCCTGGCGAGGGCCCAGCGTCCGCGCGCGTGGTGCGTGGCACTGCGTGGCACTGCGCGGCACTGCGCGGCACTGCGCGGCACTGCGCGGCACTGCGTGGCGCCCGTCGACAGGGAATGTGCGTAAATCGCAGCAAAGGTTTTTACCGCCTTTCGGAAGCGACGTCTGGCGACCGCCCCCTGCTGGGCGCCAGGCCGGCCAGGCCCCGGCCGGCAAGGTCCTTCCGAGTGTTCGAATGAGTAAACAAACTTTTCAGCGATTTTACGCCAGTTCCTCCCCCTGACCGACCCGTCCGGTCGGCACGCGTCCTCGGCGCAGTCTCGGTGCTATTCGCGGCCCTCGTCATCGTCATCCGGCTGAAGGCGAAGACCCCCTGCATCCTCTGCCCTGCTCCCTGCTCCCTCCGACGGGCAGGCATCGACGGCCGTGACGTGGCCGACGGCGCCGACTAACCCTCTCGCACTCATGGATCGTCCGGTATAGGTGCGAGAGAGACAGAGCGACGAAAACGACTCTCGGAATCAGTCTGCTCTGCCGGCGACGTGCACCCCGTGCGATCCTCCCTTTTTCGGTTATGACGGCGCGCAGACGACGCCGTGGCATGCCGTCTAATAATATGGAGGCAACTAAACATCCGCCGTGCGGCCGGGGCGGCCGGGGGAAGGCGGTGCCATTTCCTGTTGCCCGTGTACGTAGCCCACGCGGGCCGGGCGGGGGCGCCGCCGCCCCGCCCCACCGCGCTCTGTTTGGGGGTGAGTCCGGCGCGTCCTGTTGGTACAACGCCACGCTACAGCCCTCCCCGCCCCGCCCCGCCACGCCCCGCCCCTCCCTGCCACGCCACGCGGGCCCGCGACCAACTGGCCGCGCGAACTTGGGCTGGCGTCGACCCATCGTCACGGCGCCGCACCGGGGAGGGGGAGGGGGAGGGGCGCCGCATTCCCGAGATGTTTGCAGAAAAAACATCTAAAATAGTGCGTGCCGCGGGCGAGGGCTGCGGGAGGCGGGGGCAGGGCCGTGGCGGCGCGGCCCCGCGGGGATCCGTCAGGGCGCGCACCGCATTCCCGCCCCACGAGTGCCTCGTGCACTGCATGTGCTGCGCGCTGCGCGCTGCGCCAGGCGCCGCCCTTGACCCGCGCTGGCGGCTCGCCAGAGCAGCGCAGCAGCGAAAGCGGCGGACAGCGCGCGGACTCTTGTCGGCGCGTCATCGCCGAGGTGCACGCTGCCCTGGGCGCCGCCGGCCGCGTTGTCCGGAGGGGTGCGAGTCGCCCACCGCGATTCCGTCTCGTCGCTCTGTCTCTCTCGCACCTGTACGAGACGCCCCATGAGTGCGAGGGAGACAGCGACGAGAACGATCTTGGGATCAGTCTGCAGGGTGAGGGCCTCCGGCAGGTGCGCCGTGCTGCCGCGGTGGCGGTGGCCGGCTCCGCTTACCACCACGGCGGCTGTCGCGCATCGTGTCGTGCATCGCGTCACCCGTCCGGGAGTGAAACAGTGGAGGGTACCCGTACCCTCCCCTCCCATTGGCACTGCGCACCACCGCGGCATGCAGCATGCAGCCCGGTTCATGCCGTGGCCTCTTTGGCCGGCCGGCCAGCAGGGTGCATTGTGCCCCGGGTTGACGCCGGGCGTGGGCCGGCCTGGCCTGGGCTGGTCTACCCCGGGCCGCAACGCGCCGCCATGAGAGAAGGGCGCCCTGGAGTCCCAGCTTTTTCGGGCCGGGACGCCGCCTGGCCGAGGTTTGCACCACTTTGCGGCTAAACGGCTCATCGCACAACATTTCGGACAAGCTCAGAAGATTCAGGAAGGTTTTTTACATGCCCCGGCGTCGTTACATTTTGATTTGGTCAACCGGGGACCGAACGCGGCGAGCCTGAAGGGCGGCAGTCTGGCGCGGCCGAGGGTCCGCAGCGGCTGGCTGCCTGATGGCTGGCCGCCGGCTTCCCCCACCCTACCGCTTGATGAATATTTCGTGCCTTTTAAGAAGAAATAACGGTGAAAATGACACGTTGTCTTCGTCTAAGCGTGTAATATGACACCTAACACAAGTTTGAACCAAGAAATCGGTGTCTACTGGCCTCTAGCGGTAGGGTGGGGGTAGCCGGCGGCCCAGCCATCAGGCAGCCAGCCGCTGCGGACCCTCGGCCGCGCCACACTGCCGCCCTTCAGGCTCGCCGCGTTCGGTCCCCGGTTGACCAAATCAAAATGTAACGACGCCGGGGCACGTAAAAGACCTTCCTGAATCTTCTGGGCTAGTCAGAAATGTTGTGCGATGAGCCGTTTAGCCGCAAAGTGGTGCAAACCTCGGCCAGGCGGCGTCCCGGCCCGAAAAAGCTGGGACTCCAGGGCGCCCTTCTCTCATGGCGCCGCTGTGTGTCATGTGTCATCGGCACGCCGCCGCCATGCGTGTGACGGTGCGGCAAACAAATCGTTTGTCCGCGCCCCGGCCTGCACACTGTAAGGCCCGCACGGCCCGCGCGGCCTGCAACGCGGAGGCGCCGCGAAGGGGGAGGGGCCGCGGTCCCCCATTTGGCGGCCGCCCATAACGTGAAGGATGCCGTCTGACTGCTAGCGCTGCTAGTGTCTTGTCTGCGCGGCCGCGGTACAACCGCCGCCATGAGCACAGCCGCGAGTGAAGCATGGCCTCGGTCTTGTCCCCAACCGCAGCAGGGGCGGGGAGGAGGGAGGAGCTCTCACGGCGCCGCCAGCATTCGAACCTCCGGGCCGCGGGCCGCGGAGGCGGAGCGACCGAGGATCGACCGAGCCTTCGTCCATCTTGGAGCTGGGGCGGCGGCAAGTGTAGCAACGCCGTCCGGACAGACACGGGCGACCCTCTGCTTGGCACGACGTCGTCGTCGTGCACCCTGTACGACGGCGTGCACCCTTTGTGATGTAACGGACACGGCGCTGCCAAAGCGCCTGGTCGAGCCCAGCCCCGTGCGCTCCTCCAAGCCTCCAAGCCCCCAAGACCCCAAGCCTCGAGTCTCGAGCCACCCAAGCCCCGGACCGGACGCCACCACCGCGCCGGCCGCGCCTACTGCAGGCGGATACCGAAAATCGTTTTCGTCGCTCTGTCTCTCTCGCACCTGTAGCGGGTGCCCCGAGAGTGCGAGAGAGACAGCGACGAAAAGGACTCTGGGAATCGGTCTGCTGCCTACCCCAACCCCAACGGCCGACGGCGGTGGCTGACGTAACTCGGCGACTCCCGATCGCGTAAACACGCGACAAACAAGGCGGAGTCAACAGATCATCCCTCAAGGCCGCGGCGGAAAGGGACGGGGGCGGGGAGGGGGAGGGGGAAGGAGCCCCACTCCACAGGTGGGCGGCGCGGCGGTCCAAGCACGGCCGCCCTTTCACACGGGTCTCTGGGCACCGGGGCCGTCGCACAGACTTCTCTTTTCTACGGCGTTACGTAATTCGCGTACACCCCGGGCGCCGCTTCAGCCTCTTTGTCGTCACGGCCGCCAAGGCCGTCGGCGCGGTGGCGTTGCCGCGGCGCCGCGGTTTACAGTGTGCGCGACAGCTGCCGCGCGGAATGCCGCGGCCGACGCGAATCGTGAATGGATCAACAGCGGCCACGTCGGCCACGGCGGCCGCGTCCCTCTGCTCTCGGTGCTCTTGGCAATATCGGCGCAATTAAATCCTGAATTAGATTAGAGTCGGGCGCTAAGGGCTGAAGCGCAGACCGCTGCTTCCGCTGCGCGCTGCGCCAGGGACTAGGGGAGGACGCCCGGCTGGCAGGCATTCGCGCGGCAGGCGTGCTCGGCGGCACTGCCTACCCGCCGCTCCGCAGGCGCTCGGCTGGAGGCGAGGCACTCGCTGCAGCGTGCCGACGACGAGGCCCTGCGCGGCCCTGCGGTGGCGGCAGCGCGGCGGCGGCAGCGGAGGGAAGGGGGCTCTCGCCGTCACAACACGTCGGCGTCGCCGCGGCCGTAAATACATCGATACCCCGGCGGTGACTGGCTGACGGGCAGCCCGACTGGCAGGTGTATCGGACACGCGGACAGCCCGGGACAGCCCGCCCCGCCACGCGGATGGAGCGGCACCCTGGCGGCTGGCGGCGCCGCCGTGCTGCCGTGCCGAGGCACTCGAGCCGAAATAGCGACTCTAATTTTGCGAGACGAAAGAAAACGTCTAGGACTTGTTTCCGAGCCGGACGCAGCGACGCGGACGGCGTGGAGCTCACCCCGCATGGGGCGCTGGGCGCGCGCCAGCCCGCCAGCCCCGCCACGCCGGCATGGCGCCGCCAGGCGCCGCGCTAAGCGACAACACCGAACTCATTATTTTCCCGAGCCACACGAGACGGCTACAAATTATGCGCCCGCTTTCTGCGTTTTTGTGTAGCGTTTCTGTTTTTCTTTGTTTTTTTTCTTGACCGGCTGCCCCGCGTGGTGCCGCGCTGCACCGCGGAACGGATTGTGCGCCGAGTGGGTCGCCGTGGTGGTCGTCGTCCTGCTCCACTCCGCGCAGTGCGCGACCGAATTCCTGCGCGACTCGGCGTGGTGCGAATAATGGGACCGGCACTGCCAAGCCCCGCCTGGCCCCGCCAAGCTGCGGGCCTCCTTTGAGTGCTGGGCGAGGTGTCGTCCCCACACCTTGCCGCTCACCGCGCCGCCGCATGCAGCAGCCAGGCCGCCAGGTACCCGGTCCATTCATCGCCCCGCCGCCCCGCGGACGACGACGACGGTGGACGACGGCCGCCCTGAGTCACCGCCACCACCGCCACCACCGCCACCACCCGGCACCCCGGCACCAGGTGTACCGCCGCGCCGCAACACGCGACACCCGAAATATGCCGCTCCCTAAAATTATCCCGTCTGTTCGTCTCTCTCTGTCTGTCTCGGACGTCGCCTCACCTGTCCGCCGTGACGCTCGCGACATTCGACAGGTCGCGTCGCGCCGCGTCGGAACGGAGCGAAAGGGGGAAGGTGAAGGTGCTGCCAGGCGCGGCACAGCGCGCGCCCGCCGTCGCGGTGCTCGTGTTATGACGGGCTGACGGCCAGCAGACTGATTCCGAGAGTCGTTTTCGTCGCTCTGTCTCCCTCGCACTCACGGGGCGTAGCATAGGCGTGCGAGAGAGATAGACCGACGAGAGTAGCGCTCGGAACCAGGCTGACGGCCTGGCAGCACGCTTGCAATTTCGCCATGCTCGATACGCAGCGGAAGCGCCTTCACGGGCACTCACACAGACACCCAACACGAGGGCTGGGCTTGGCGACCATAAAACCACACCTATGACAGGTAGGCCCCAGACCGCGGTGGCCGCGCGCCTACACATTACCCCCCCCCCCCTTGCACACACACACACACATCCAAACACGTGCGCGCGACATTTAGCCTGTCCGGCCCGCCGGCATTCGCTAGAGACAGGTGAAGCAAACAGGGGTGCCGTCCAGGGCGGCGTGGAGGGCCGCGTCCGTGTCTGCGCGCGATGGAGCGGGGCGGCGGGGCGGCCGGGCGGCCCCTTCCCTCCCCCTTGGGCGCGCCGCGGTGCCAAGCAGCACACTCATTCCAAGAGTCGTTTTCGTCGCTCTGTCTCTCCCGCACCTGTACGGGACGCCCCGTGAGTGCGAGAGAGACAGAGCGACCAAAACGACTCTCAGTCTGCAGCAAGCAGTGAGCGGCCGCGAGCCACCCCCACAAAGAGGATAGGGCGAAGTCATGTCAGCCCAGCCACCAGTGTTTCGAAAGCCGCGGCCCGCCGCCTCATTTTCATTTTCGTGCTCTGCTTCGTCACCGTGGCGTTGCGCCGCGTTTTATTCTGCGCGTTGACGGGGAGGCTCGCGTCCGGTCCGGGCACGGCCTGCAGTGCACACTCATTGTGGACAGTGGCTTCGACGCTCTGTCTGCTTCGCACTCATGGGCCGTCGCGTGGGGAGACAGGACGACGAGAGCAAAGTTCGGAATCAAGTTGCACGGTCTACTTCGCCTGCTTCGCGACGCCGAGGGGCACGGCGGCGTCCCGCCGGTCGTGTTGTGTTCGTGTTGTACTACTCACGCGCTGGGTCTCCCGGTCAACCTCGGGAGGAGGCGACGCTGAGATTGGCTGGAAGCACAGGGCCGGCGGCAGAGGCTGCGCCTAAAACACAGAGCACTAGGTCACCCACTACGGGAAGCACATGTAAAGCGAGAAGCGACAAACAGAATTATTGACGAGAAACTAACGTGGAGGCCTGGATCTGTCTCGGTCGCATTGAAACACATTCACTGCTTTTCCGCGAGGGTACCCCCACCCCACCCGCAAGCCAGGATGCTGAGGGGCTCTAATTGTGCAACGGCAACGGCGGCAAGCATTGGGAGGACTGCTCCCGGGAAGAGGTCGCCAACAAGGACAAGCAGCTGGCCGGCCAAGAAAGGGCCAGGCGGCCAAGCGGCTGGCCGTGTGGCGGGAAGACCACCATGGACCACCGGGAACACCAAGCTTGATGCACGCCCGCTGGGAGGCAACCCAGGCGACGTGAACGACGGGAAGCCAACAGCACCACCACCGCGGCGGGTTCCTCACCACGGAGGAGGGGCTGGTTGTCCTGCCCGGGCGGCTCCAGCCTCGTCAACATGGACGCCATGCCCTGCCGGAAGTCGGTCCACAGAGACGTGCTCGTGGCGGGCGTGGGCAACGCGTCGCCGTCGCCGTCCTCGCTCGCCGCCAGCGAGGTCCTCCGCGACGAGTCCCTGCTGCTCCAGGGCCGGGCGCTCTTGCCGCGCGGGGGCACGGGGAGGACGACGGCGAGGTCCAGGCTGGCTCGCCTTCCGGGCCATGGTGGCGGCGCCGTCGAGGACGCCGAGGACGCCGCGGTGGGCGTTGACGTGAGGGCGCGGGGCCGGCGCTGGCCGCCCAGCAGCCCCCGCCGCTCCACCCCCTTGTCCTTGTCCTTGTCCTGCTTGTCCTTGTCCTTGTCCGCCCGCGAGCGCCGCGACGCCCACTCCTGGCCGCGGCGCGCGCACTCCTCCCACACGTTGAACTTGTCCTTGTCGCTGGGCTGCTGCTGCTGCTTTTGTTGCCAATCACTTCCCTCCTGCTGCTCCTGCTGCTGCTTGTCCTCGGGCGCGTCCTCGTCGTCGTCCTCGCCGTCCGGGTCGGCGTCGGCGACGCGCGTCCAGTCCTTGCCCACCTTGTTCCAGCGCACGCTGCTGCGGGTCCGCGAGGCTCCGCGGCGCGCCGCCTGGCCCAGCCTGCTGCCGATCTGCGCCACCTCGTCGCGGCGCTGCCACGCGCTGCGCACGCGCCGCCAGCGCGTCTGGAAGTCGCCGTTCTTGTCCTCGTCCGGCGCGTCGCCGCCCACCTGCACCGCCTTGGACGGCCCCGTCGGCCGCGGTCGCGTCCACACCTCGCCCATGCTGGACTGGTGGTGGCCGCCGTGGCGGGGCAGCAGGGCATCGGTAGGCTGCCCTGGGACCTCCCCTCCGACCGACAATTAGCGCCTGATCGCCACGCCACCGTCACCTGAGTCCCGCGTCGGAACGTCGGAACCTGCCACTTCCCTTCCCTTCCCTCCCGCGCATGGCCGGCAGGCTGCAGGGTCACGGCCGGGGCAGTCCTCCCTGCCAGGCAAAAGCTACCCGCACTTCCATGCTCAAGCCCAAGGTGCCAACCTGCAGACTGATTCCACCAGTCGGTTTCCTCTCTCTCGCACCTCACGCGTCCCGTACATGTGCGAGAGAGACAGAGCGACGGAAACGACTCTCGGAACCAGTGTGCCGGCATGCGGTGTCGCACTCACCATGATGGACGACACCTCCTGGTCTGTCATTGCTCGGCGGCTCGGCGGCGCGGTGCGAACGGGTCGGACTCTGGGCCGAGGGCTGGACCCGGCAGTCTGGTCTAGCTCTGACGGCGACTCGGCCGGTGACGCGCGAAGGCAGGCGGCGACGAGGGTGCTTCACAGTGCCCTGCGTGTCCTGGAGGTCCTGGAGGTGCGCGGGACGGCGGAACGTCGACGGCGGCAACGCAACGGTCGGCTGCTTAGGCTGGCGGCGTGCTCCCTGCTCCCTCGGCTGGCCTTCCCTTCTCTCGCTCCCCTTCGCGCGCACGACTGCCCGACTCGACTCGACTGAAGGCGCGCCGCGGCCGCGGGACGCGAAAATCGCGCGCCCTGCCAACGGAGCAGCCGCGGGGCCAGGGGGCGGCCAGGGGTGGGCTGTGGGCCTCGGGGGCTGCCTGGCGGAGCGGGGCGGCGTGGCCGCAGCGTCACTCACAGTCTATTTAGCGGCCACTGCCACGCCGGGCCGCCGCGCTGGTGGACAAAGGCGACACGGCGGACACGAGAGCTCGAGGACGAGCACAAGTCCGTGGCCACGCTGCCACCTCGAAGGCACAGAGGCCCTCGGTGATGTCGTTGCGGCTGCTCCGCTGATATTGCCCCGCGCAACAGGCGTTGCCTCTCTCTCCGAGCAGTGCTTAGGCGTTGCTTGTTCGGGCCCCCGTGCGCCTACCGACGGACGGGTAGGCAGCCCAGCCGACACGGGAGCAGCAAGGGTTGCGCGGCTGCGGCGCCGCGCACGGTCTTCAGTGGGCCTGACAGTAGGCCTGTCCCCGTGGTTATGGTGGCTGAGAGGTTTTGTGCGAATGCTGAATCTGGCCCCTGATGGGCTGCGGTCCTGGACTTGGGTGTCCCTAAGCTCGAACCGTACACCGAACCAATCCTCGCCAATCACACAAACTAGTGCCCCAGCTTTTACGCTGACTTCTGAAAAGGTAATGGTGAGAATAAAGGAGGTATTGCAGATGAAAAAAATTAGACATGTTTACTTCTGTATGACTTCTTTATTTGATATATTTTTATCTTCATCATATATTCATTTCAGCACACACGCACACATAAATGTTGGCAGATGCTCGACACATACTCTACCCCCCCTACCCCTCCCTGCCCATGCATTGCACACAACCACTCACACAAATACAGACATACACAAACATTTGACTTTCTCTTTTAGTCTATTTCACTCTCTCTCGAAGCGCACACACACTTTTAACAATAATGATCACAATTCAGAGTGCGGGTCACAGTTGATATCACTCGTGTTCGACACACAGGTATGTACATATACACAAGCCTGGTCCTGGGTCACCGTGGTGCGGCCGAACCGATCCACCCCACGTACCCCAACCCCACAGCCAAAAATCAGTAAGCATCAAGCAAAAATAAGAATACAATAATAATAATAGTAATAATAATAATAATTAAAAAAATCAACAAAAGAAAAAACCATGAGGCCAATCTTATTGGTCTTTTAACAGTGTCTAAAAAAAATGTCACTTCTTGGGCACACACTGAGTCAAGCTTCCAAATTTACATTAACAGATTCCTCGTAAATTTCGACGCTTGGCACAGACAGACACCGCTCGAAGGAGAGCTTAGCAAGCGCAGGAGTGGACCGAGTCCTGGAGTGTCCTGGAGCCTGGAGGGTCCTGGAGGGTCCTGGGCGAGTCCTGGACGAGCAGGCGAGGAGGGGAGCAGGCCGCAGACTGTCGCAGCGATCACGTCCCCTTGCGTGGAGGAGGCGGCGGCGGGGCGCCCGTCGACACCCCTGCCGCGGGAGCCGGGCTCAGGACATGACTGTTAGTCGATATCTTGCGCTCTTTTATTGGAATGTTCTCGTAAATTGTCCTGGGAATTTCATCTGGAGGCCTGGAAAAGGATGCAAAACACGAAAGGGTTAGAAATGATACACCAGAGAGCCTAAAAAAAAAATTTGATTTATAAGGCAAAGGAAAACTCCAGAAGGGAAAGAAGGGAATGCAGCAAACATCTCAAGTACAACACTTTTTAGGACAAGGGAATGTAAATAGTTGGAAGATTGTTGCAGTTACAAGACGAGGATAGTTAAGTTGGAGATGAATAGCAAGGAAAGGGCACTGAATGACACAACCACCATTGACAACATGAATGCTGAAGAGAAGAAAGAAATATTGAAATCAAACCACAACACCAGTCAAACCAAATCTGTGGCTTGAGACGCAACATTCGTGATCAAAGGCACAGCAATGATGTTGATAGACAAAGTGAGTGACTATCATCAATGAGGGAAATAGCAGGACAGGGAGACGAGAGAGCAGATAGCAGAGCAGGATCGCATTGTGAAACATTAAACGCCAATGGATAAAACATTGCAAAGGCAAAGAAACAAGTCAGTCTTCACTCTTTTGTTAAGAAAAATTAAGTCAGCATTAATCGACTGAAACTTGAGGATCCAAGTCGAGTACAATATGCAGAGAGGAGAGGGAATCGAGCAGGCTCTCTCAGAACCGAGAGCTAAAGGGCACAGAGTTAAAGGACAAAGACCAAAAGGGGACTGAGCAAATCCGTTGGAACTCACTCGCTCGCTCCCTGTCCGGGGGACGGAACGGTGAGTGGCCTGGGCTCTGGGCTCGCCTGCCAGCCTGCCAGAGCCAGCGACTGCCTGCGACTGCATCTGCGACTGCCTGCGCCCTGCGCGTCGTCTCCCGTCTCCCTGCTCGCATCGCGGCATCGCGGCATCGCGCTTGCATGCTCGCGATCTCGCTCGCATCCCGCTTGCATCACAGCTTGACCAACTTCAACTACACCCACGACAAGAGCCGGCGCACGCGCACCACCTTGGGTGGGGATACGGCAACAGGCACGGCGCCATACCTGGGCAGATGTGCGTCACTGCTCGCCGGCATGCCGCCGACATGACCGCCACCGTGGCCGCCGTGGCCGGCGTGGTGGCCGGCGCGCTCAGAGCTCGCCGAGCTCGACACGCTGCGGAGGAGTGTGCCGCTCGACACCCCCACGACGCTGCCGCCCGAGGCCAGCGAGGCCAAGGAGGCTGCCGTGGCCGTGGCGGTGGCGCCGGGGATGGACGTGGTGGAGCGGGACAGGCTGGCGTCGGACAGCGTGCTCGCCAGCGTGGTGGCGTTCTGCGAGGCGGGCGTCACCACCTCGCTGGAGTAGCGGATGTTGGTGTACTCGCGGCCCAGCTGCAGACTTTTCTGTAACGGCGACAGGCAAGGCAGGCCGTCAGTCGGAGCCGTTTCGTCGCTCTGTCTCTCTCGCACCCATGGGGCGTCCCCGAGAGATGGAACGACGAAAACGACGGCTCCAGCTAGTGGGGACCTACTGACCTGTTCGGCTTGTTTTCTATGTGATGCTGTCTCAATATGGTGCTGCACTGCAAGATACACGAATTTGTACTGTGCTTCTGTCTGAACCATTCCGGACCTCTGAGATCGTACCATCTGAATCGTTCTCTGAATGTCTATTTCACAGTCTAAACCTGGAGTGGAAGAGATGCAATATTTAATTACAAACTGGGTCGACACTAACACAAAAGGGATTTGAATTGTGTGTGCTCTTACCTAATCTCTTAATTTGATCGAGGATCATGTCAATAACAATAAATGTGCCAGTCCTTCCAATGCCTGCGCTGCAATGCACCAAGACTGGGCCAGCACCAACAATGGACTCTTGTCTGGCATTTACATCATGAAGGAAATTCAGCACACAGCCGGGGTCCGCGGGGACACCATGGTCAGGCCAGGCCTGTCAAAATAATAAAAGAAGTGTGTTTGGTCAAATAAAATTCATAAGTGAGACAGCAAATAATGAACAATAATTACCTGGAAATGGTAGTGATAAACTTTCCGTTCTTCATCAGAACCTTCCATTGACACAGAAAATTCCCTCAGTGTGTAATCTGCAGTTTTTGACTCTAATATATTTTTAACTTTAGTTTTTTTGTATTCTTTTGACTGCCCTTCCTCAGGCCAGTACCTTGCACATTTGTTCTGGGAAAGAGAAAAACATAAGTAGACAATATGCAGGCAAAACAAGTGTAAACCAAAAAGAAAATGGATATTTTAATGCTAGGCTTACCTTTCCTCTTTCAACTTCTTTTGTCGTCATAACAATAACTCGAGTATTTTCTTGCCATACCATGTGCCAAAAATCGCCCATGGTACTAGGTAAACAACCTTGAGTAGCAATATAATGTTTCGGTGGTCCATTTGGCAATGTTTCTTCTTCAGGCTAAGTAGACAACAAAATCAATAAAAAAAATGTTTCTCTATCTTTTTTCAAAACCAAATTTTATGTCTTTAACTTACTTTAATGTAATTGGCATTAACATATTCAGCTCCAGGTTCATTGGGGTCAATATTTTTTAGCTTTACTCTTGTGTGGTCAACTATAAAAAAGAAGAAGAAATTTGTATGAGCAAAATTAAATGAAGTAAAACATTCATTGTGAAAATATGTATCTAGGTCTTACAAGGAAGAATGTTTTTGTAGCGGTTTTTGTTCCTATTTTCTGCCTTTTGACCTTCTTTCCGTGAAAATAAGTGGCGGCACTCCTGCTGTTGTAATGACTCGAACTCCTCCCAAAAGCCAGCTTTCCCCATGGAGAGTCCATTCTCTTTCTAAAAATTAAAGTAAGACAGAGTTAGTCACCATGCCAACACTTCGAAATACATTGAAATACTCAAGAAAAATAACATACCTGTAGCTCTTTTACTCTGCTATCGATACCAGAAGCATTGATGCGAGTGGCGTTGAATGGCTGCTTGAGATGAACAACTGTACCACTTGTCTCCACCATAGGATTCTTTTTGTAGTATTCAATTAATTCACTTAAGCTGTCAAACTTCATGCCACCCCCCACATCATAAAATCTCTCCTGAAATAAAAGAGAACAACCCCACATTAAACAACATCCGACGCAGCAATGGACACAGTCGCAACGAACGATGGATAGATGGATAGCAAAAACTCACATGACACCGAATCATGACATGAGTCACTTTGTCGTCAGTTCGCACGGACAAGACGTAATCTCCAGGTTTGCTTTGACTCTCCCTGACCAGAAAACTGCCGTTCTTGCCCTTGTCCAAGATCAACTTCTCTGCATCCTTGCCCGAGAGATGTCCGTGGAACCACCTAAACAAACAAAAGAAAGAGAAACCACATTAAATAGTACATAGCCACATGTTGATGTCAAAATTTCCTGGGAGTTGTTAAAATAGTTGTTACAAGTGTTAAACAGCCTAATCCCATTTCATTCACAAGAAAATGCAGAAATTGTTACAGTCCCCCACTCCCCCCGCGTTTTGCTCTGCACGCTTACGAGCAGTTGGCACCCAGCAGACAGACTGATTCAGAGAGTCATTTTCGTCGCTCCGTCTCTAATCAGGATGCTCCATGAGTGCGAGAGAGACAGAGACGACTCTGGGAATGAGTCTGCTGGCCGCATCTCAGGATGCATCCCAGGATGCAGCGAGTGCAACAGCAACTGCCGGGCATGGGCAGCGAGCAGCAAGGCAGCGAGGACCTTGGCCGGCCCCGGCCCGGCGTGCCTTGCCTCTCTGTGTCCGGCGGCGCCGCGGCCACGCCGCCCCGCACAGTGCACCGCCCCAGCCCGCAGCTCCCAGCCCGCGGTCCGCACTGCGCAGCGCTGCGTCGCGACTCGCGAGCCAAACGAGTGCGGCACAAAGCCAGGCCTGGTCGTTACGCTCTCTTGCATCACGGCCTGCTTGGCGCGGAGCGGAGAGCGGCCGTCAGCCTCGCCGCCCGGTCCACATCGCCGGGGTCCCGCAGACTGATTCCGATCCGAGAGTCGTTTTCGTCGCCCTGTCTCCCTCGCACCCACAGGGGACGCCCCGAGAGTGTGAGAGGGACGGAGCGACGAAAACGACTCTCGGCATCAGTCTGCAGGCCGCCCGTCCAGGCCGCCCGCGTCCAGTCGGGCGGGGCACTACTGCAGACTGAGAGTCGTTTTCGTCGCTCTGTCTCTCTCGCACCTACACGGTACACCTCATGGGTGCGAGAGAGACAGAGCGACGAAAACGACTCTCGGAATCAGTCTATACTGCAGCACAGCGCTAGGCGGGGCCAGGCAGGAAGTGCAGTCACGTGGCGCGGCACGGCGGCACGGCGGCACGGCGGCTCCACACCACAGGGCCTTCCCTGCGTCGCCACCGTCCCGGCCCGTCACGTCCACTTCCGCGCCTCCCTTCCCCGGCCCCTGCCGGCCCGTCACACCGACGCGATGCCTGTCTGTTTTGATGCTGGCAGTGACCGCCAACGCCACCGCCGCGCCACCGCTGGACAAGGATGGACGATGGACGGGGACGGACTGGAACAGGAGCGACGAAGATAAACGGCGCTAAAAATAGCATAACGCCACGATGGCGGCTTTGACGTCACGGCGCGACGCTGGAGCGACGCTGGAGCGCACACACGTCCACGTCCATCGACATCCATTATGCGCTTCCGGAGAGCGCGGAGCGCGGCGGACTCCGGAGCCACGCAGAAAAAGGGGGAAGTCCCTCCGCCACCGCGTCGGCCGAGCAGTCTCTCTCTCGCACCCTCCAGGACCGTCCTGGACGCCCCACGAGTGCGACAGAGACGGAGACGCGTCCGCTGCGTCCGCGGAGCGAGGAAAGCACTGCTGCGGTGGGCCGTACCCACAACCAGCGGTCAACAGGTGCCGCCGACCGATTCCGAGAGTCGCTCTCGTCGCTCCGTCCCTCTCGCGCCCGTGAGGGACGCTCCACGAGTGCGAGACAGACAGAGCGACGGAAACCACTTTCTGAATCAGTGCGCAGGCATGCCCAAGAGCACGTCGAGGCAAACTGAGTGGGCAAGCACCCGAACCGTCTCCAGGTGCCTCGCCTGTTTTCGCAAATTAGTCGGACGGGTAAGGCCCCAGCCAGCCCCGCTGACGACAACACGGCACGGTCGCCATTGCAGCAGGAGGTGCCAATTGCCGTGCTGAAGGTGCTGGCGACGCCCCGGCCCCACAGCACGGCAGGCCTCGGCGTCACTTCGACGGGGCGCCCGTCCGTCCCGCGCACAGTGGGCCGGAAGAGCGGTGGAGGCGGACAAAACTCTAGACGCGTTTTGAGCTCCAGAGTCGCTAACTGGGACTCGAACCGAACGTGTGACCCCACCAATGGATTCCTCGTTCGGAGAGCAATCCATGGGTGGGGTCACACGTTCGGTTCGAGTCCCATTTAGCGACTCTGGAGCTCAAAACGCGTCTAGAGTTTTGTCCGCCTCCACCGGTCTTCTGGCCCACTGTGCCGTGCCCCTCACATGCAGGACGTACACACAGCAGCCGCCGCCGCAGCAGCAGCGATCGAAGATAAACAAGAAGTGTCCGTCACTTCAGGAGGCGTCAGCCAAAGCGCCGGCGGGTCAGAGCCCATAACGCCGGGGGGCGACGCGCGTTGCCGCCTTGCCGCGCAGCCATTCCACAGCAGCGGCACGTAGTACTTGGCGTCGCGGCCGCCACCGTGGTGCACCAAGGCCAGGCGACGCCGCGCCGCGCCACGCCGAGGCGAAGGAGGCCGCGCCGAGCCACGTGATTTTCGGCGACTTTGCCGAACGTCAACATTACCATAAACAGCCGCCAAGTGTTTACCGACTTCTTTTTTCCCGCCCGTTTTATTCTTCTTTTTGTGCGCCGCGGTGCCGCGGTACGTCGCGCCGCGCATTGCGGCATTGTCATTGCGGCCCATCAGTAGCGGCGGTGGCCTCACCGGGTGGGTGGGGGCCCAGCAGACTGAGAGTCGTTTTCGTCGCTCTGTCTCTCTCGCACTCAAGGGGCGTCCCGTGCAGGTGCGAGAGAGACGGAGCGACGAAACCGCTCTCGGAATCAGTCTGCAGCAAGACGGCCCGGGTGGGCACAATGGCGAGTCCGCCGTCTCCTCCGCGCGGCGCATCCTCGGCGACGAGCACACCGTCAGCAGCGTGCGGCGGACCCATTCCGGAGGGAATTTTCGTCGCTCTGTCTCTCTCGCACCTGTGCAGGACGCCATATGAGAGCGAGAGAGACAGAGCGACTCGGGGGAATCAGTCTGCTGCACTGCCACAAGGCGGCCAGCACCGCGCGAGGACGCGAAGCCGCGGAGCCCTCGAAGAAGGTGGGGCCGGCCCAACCAGGACGCGTCCTCATCGCCGTCCAGCCCCGCCAGCCCGTGCGCGGTCACGTATCGTCACGTCCGTGTCCACAGCGCGGTGCTCACATTAGCGCCAGCGCGCCAGCGGACCCACTCCCAGAGTCGTTCTCGTCGCGCTGTCTCTCTCGCAGCCACAGGGGCCGCCCTGCGAGTGCGACAGAGACAGACAGCGCGCCGAAAACGCCTCTCGGAATCAGCCTGCAGCGCGATGCCGTGCTTGTTTACGCGCCGCGACGCGACCACGGCGGGGCGGCAGGCGGGGCGCGGGGCGCGCCGACGTGAGGACGTCCTGTTGGGCATGAGGATGTCGCGGCCGGACGGACCGCCGGGCCCTGGCCGCCCTGGCCGCGCCACGCGTCGGGCGTCACGTGGCGGCCGTGCTGCACACGTGGGCGAGGACGGCGAGCGCGGCGAGGGCACGTAGGCCGAGAAAACAGACACAGACGCCCGGGCCGTCAGGCCGTCAGCGCGCTGGCCGCGCATATTGATTCGCCAAAACAATCTCGCCGCGCCCCGCGTGCGCCCCGCGTGCGTGCAGGCCGATTGCCCTGCCTCTCTCGCACTCGTGGGGCGTGCCGGAAGGGAGCGACAGAGGCAGAGACAGTGCTCCGTGTGCTGGCGGAGCCGATCGAGTGCGTCGGGCTGCACTGCGGCGTCGCGTGCCGCCTTCCAGAGTAGCAGTGCCGCCGCGCACCGATTCCGAGAGTCGTTTTCGTCGCCCTGTCTCTCTCGCACTCATTCAAGGGGCGCCCCGAATAACCGCGAGAGAGACAGGGCGACGAAAACGACTCTCGGAATCAGCCTGCAGTGCAGGTCGCAGGACACGCGGGCAAGAGGGAAGGCCCTCGACAGGACAGCCGCGCCGTCCAGCGGGAGGCAGAGGAGGGGGTGGCGGAGGAGGAGAGGAAATGCGGAAGAGAAGGCGGCACTGCCGAGACAGCCATGTGGTCTCCGCGTCCCCGCGCCGCGCGGACACACCCACCTCGGGCGCGCCACGCCGCGCCACGCCGCGACCAGCCGCGACCCCATAACCAGGCGCCGTCGCCACTCCGCGCCACTCCGCGGTGGTGGCCGCCGCGGCGACAGGAACTACTAGGCATTTTACGAGCCTCTCGCAAAGCGATTCAAATGGAGCCACGACGCCGGGAGACCGAGGCGGAAGGAACCCGCCGACACACTCACAGAAACCTCATACTCTGACCGACTCGGCGGACAACTTTTGGACAAACACACACAAAAGATACTAATATTTTTCGCAGGCCAGAGATAGAGATGACAGCAGGGGGCGCTCTCATCCTATTTTCCAGCCGTGGTTCGCCACTGCCACTGGTGTGAGTGTGTGAGTGAGTCAGTCAGTGAGTGTGAGTGTGTGTGCGTGTGTGCACAGGGGGCAGGGGCCGGGTAAGGCCACGCCACTGCGCCGGCCAAAAACGAACACGGATGTCAACGGCCGAACATTACGCGGACTGTACTGCGCGGCCACGGCCCGGCCTGGCCATGCAGCACGACACCAAGCACGACGGGCTGGAGCTGGGGGCCCGCGGCTCGGCCGACGCGGCCGGCACGACCCCGTCGTCTGCCCATGCCCAGCGTCCAGGTGGTCGGGTCCAAGCGGTCCAGGCACTCGGTCCAGGACGCGGCCCAGGCTTGGCCCAGGCTTGGCCCAGGCTTGGCCCAGGCCTCGTTGACGGGAAATTGGCCTCGTGTCTTTCGGGGGGTCCGCCCTGTCCGCCCACGCCGCACCGCGCCCCGGCCAAACTAGTTCGTGCCGCCGTGCCGCCGCCACCCAGCGCGGGCTGGCCGATTCTTCCACTGTCTCTCTCCCTGCGGGCCATCCCCGTGAGTGCGAGAGAGACAGGGCGACGAAGGCACTGCTCGGGATCAGCCGGCCGGCGTGGGCACGCAGTGGGCACGCACGCACAGGCCGCTTGATTGACAGACGTAATGGAAGCGAAGCGATCAGATCCGGAGCGGAGA